TCATATGAGAGACGGCAGCCGGCGCGAACCGGACGATGGCACCGGCGCCGGCGCTGCAGGTCTGCTGCACCAGCGCGGGCCAGAGAGTCACCATCCGACGGTAGCCAGCGCTGGTCGAAATGCTGTCACTCGGCGGTTTCTAGCGCTGGTCAGAGATGCCGAGCCGCGGTGCCAGCGGTACCGAGCGCCCAGCGTCCGTCGATTTGTGGCAGGCGGATACGGTGCCTCTGTCGCTGGTCACGCTCTGTGGCCGCCCTGGCGCGGTGCTGGTCGGTGCTGGTTGGCGCTGGTCCTTCCAGCGGCAGCTAACCACTCAAACCAGTCACACACACAGCGGGGTGCCGGGGCGGCCGACCGACCAGCGCGACGGTCACCGGCCCGAGCTGACGGACACGACAGCCCCCGAGGTAGCCGCCGGCCGGCCGGTCTGGCGGCAGCGACTGTCAGGTTTACCAGCGATTATGTGATTACGGGGAATCTGAAACAATGACCTCTGGTCTCGTCTCGGCCTCGCTTCTAACTTCTAAGGTCCGTGCTTAGGTAGATTATTCCACTGCGAGCTGTAAATGCAGCCCGGATTTCGGCACCACACTGCAGATGCAATAAGAACAAATGCGCCAACAGTCATATCATATCCGTGTAGATTCTCGCATGCCAGCACAATATACGAACACCAAGACGGTGCAAATGACACCCATTTGCTGCCCGCCGGACGGCATAATGCGGCCGAATCGGAGCTCTTGCGCTTTGAAGTTTGACACCCTAGGCGTCAACTAATTATTCGCCCAGCATAAGCCACCTGGAGACAGTCTGGGCTGGCTTCCATAACCTCGTGTGTGACATTGGCCAGGCAAGAACCAGACTTGGGAGAGGCGATATGTGGATTATGGACTGTGGAGGCCTTTTCGCTGGTACCTACACAATTTTAACATATTTTGGCTGTAGAACGGAGCTCCATTTTTTGTGCCGCAGGCTTTTACATTTTTACTGCCCGTGTCCAAGTGTTGTACGATGGTCGATGAGATTTATGTAGCATTTGGATTGACAAATATCCGCCTGATAATTGTTTTTCGGTGGTGTCTGATTCGCTGTTTGACTGGGTTTGCAGCGTTATCCGCAGTGAGGAGCTCCCTGCTGCAGATAAGCCGGCAAACTGCCTCAATTTGCCAACACTAACCCGATTAACGCTCACGCCAATCTAGCTTAGACAGTGAGAAGACTGTTGTGCATGCTAAAATGTGTTTGCCGTGTCAAAATGACAAGACGGAAAATGTGATTGCTATCAATGCTGTGCATGCAAAAAGTCTACTAGTTAAACCTTTCAGTAAAAGTTGACGGTAAGAAAAAATAGTTTGTGACCAGAAAAAAACTGTCATGATATGGCGCAGTGAACGGCTTCTTCTTGTTCGCAATATTCATTCATTATGTATGGTTATTCAAAAACTTGTTTAGGTCTCCAAAATCATTTTCAAATATTTTAGGAAGATGACTATGTTGGAAACTATGATTGATGTATCCAGAATACATCTGCAAATGGAACTATGTATTCTCTGGGCGTAGGTAAAGCTGGCTCCTTTTATGTTTAAAGCTGAAATTAGCCCGCACCGCAGGGTAGTGGTTCGATCGTAGCACAATAGTAGCCGGGGGAACGGCGGTTTTACACCTCCTTTTAATTTGGCTCCTGGGCCTTGTAGCGACACGCCGTAATCGGTGTCCGTAATGGCTTCAAGGAACGTGAAGAGAGTATTTGGTCATTTGTAAGGTACGACCATAGATCGATTTCACGTGGAGGTCATTAAGACTCACCTTTACATTGAAACTGAGTTAAGATAGGTTAGCCGACGTGGAATCTGAGAAAATACGGGCAACGATATTTATTTGCTTTTATCTACGTACCACATGGTCTTAAGGAAAATTGCTTCCCTTCATTTCAGTGTGGTTGGTTTGGGTTATGTCATCAACCTGTACTGCTTTTCAAAATCTGATGCAGGATATCAAGGTTAACTTTAAGCATCAAGGATGCTTTTGAGTGAATGCGCTTTAACCCTCGCCCGTATTGGTGTTTTTCCAGCCGCGAACGTATAAGGGGGGGGGGGGGGTCCGTTGAACCCCCCCTTGCCGTTTCGCCCCTGATCGAGCTAGAGCTTCGCGGAAAAAAAACGAGCGTGCTGCCCGTGACGAGAGGAAGCCGATGATACCCAATTTTAAGGTCCTAGGTCATTGGTTGACATTCCAGGTCAGGTCAATGACCCAAAAGTCGGGAAAATCGGGACCTGTCAGAACGTCGTAAAATGTGGCTGCTATGGGGTTTTTCGGGGTGCTGATCACGAATATCATGCTAGTTTTGATCACAGATGATGTCTTCATGCATTTAGGCCAGGTCGGGTCAGGTCAGGTCAGGTCAATCAGTAGGGGTCCTGCCGGATATTCGTAGTAGGTGTCAACCGGCTCTGACAGCTTCGTAACATGTTACGAAGGCACCAAAACTACTTCGTAAATGTTCATATGGTTGCTAAATTGGAATTCAGCTCCAAAAACTGGCCTAGAAACATGTAAAACTCGAAAAAGTGAACCGAGATCATCAAAGGTCATTGACCTGACCTGACCTTCAGTTCGATGCAAGGTCAACGATGCAAAAGTGAATTATCGAACTTTGCAAAGAGTGCATAAAATCACGATTGTATGTGCTTGAAGTAGTTTTAGATCATTCCTGGCACCAAAATTACAGTTCCCATATTTACCTCATTAGCTTATAATGATGAGGTCACGTGATGGACCTGACCTCAGGTGACGCTAGGAAAAATCCTAGATATGCATACAAGTAGTGAGACATCTAGATGATACTTTAGGTTCTGTAAGTTTCATCTCCCTGCGAAAGCTTATGTGGCACTGAGTGCGTTGCGAAGTTGCGATATTTTACAACCAGTAGACGTTTACTTATGACGTCATAGGTCGTCGTTACGAGGTGGTCGTTATGACGTCAAGTGACCTGACCATACCTGACAATTTTGTTGATTGGACAAGATTCTGCTTGAATCAAAGGTCAGATATGCTAAATTTTACTGCCATTTATCGCCAGTGTGCTCCGACCTATCGCGAAAAATTATCCCCCCCCCCCCACTCCTTCGGCCGGCGAGGGTTATAAATTAAGGGCGAAACGGCGAACGGGGGCGGGTGCCCCAACAGCCCCTCTGCCGGGTCTTCACGTAGAAAAGTGAAGATACGGCAGGGATATAATGCCGCTCCCTACACTTTTTTATCTCTGAATGCTGTTTGTACCACTGCTAAGCCCGAACCAACGTAAAACATCCTAAACCGCCGCGGTTGTGCGGGACGCAATGTCTGCGGGTATTATCCGGCCACAGCTCCCACCGCTACAGGACGGAGCGGAGCACAACACGGCAGCGCCGACAGTGAGCTGAAGCTGTGGTCCGTCTGACGCCTGGGCTGTAAATGTCCTGTGTGCGCCCCGCCCCGCCGGGTCCTGCGCCCACTGCCCGGTGGGGGCCGGCCGGCGGCGTCCGAGCGGCCGCTCACCGCCAGCTTATCGAGAGGATTGGAAGGATCGCGTGATGTGACACCGCTGAGAGCTCTTCCTGTTGTAAGTGTTTGTCAATTTGTGTGATTTAGCAGCACTACGGCATCAACTTTAGGTCGACGCATTTGATTCACTAAATGACAACCTTTAAATGCCTTTAGCGAATAAATATTGATCTTTTCTTAGCCATGAGAGCAAATCCTACCGTGCCCCGAACGAAGGATATAGGATAAGACGTGAATGATTAATGAATGTTTATTACGGTTTGTATCGATCTCTTCAAATAAACGGAACTTTTCCGCTAAGTTCACAGTGTTTTGGTCTTCTTCTTGGAAAGATAGGGCGAATCCCAACAAAACAAAACAAACAAAAACAAAACAAAACGATGTAAATAGAATGAATAACCTGCAACATATAACATAATGCTCATGCTGTATGTTGCAAAATCTCCCTATCTCCAAAATCTCCTCATCTCCAGAAAACAAAACAAAATAAAAACAAACATTGTGATATAGGAAGTTAACTCCCTCGCCACCTGCGCGGAGAAGCTGAAGCTGTCTTCCATTCTGAACCCCGTCCCGCTCGGAGAAGGGGTCGCCGTCGGGGACTACCGGGGACGCGGCGTGCCCGGCCGGCCGGTCACGCGTGGCCTCTTCAGCAGCAGTCCGTCGATGGAGTCGAGTGGCCCCTCCACTGCGGATGACCGGCAGCGGCGTGCTCCTGCGGATGTGCCGGGGTCATCGGCTCAGTGTGTAGTGCCAGGGCAGGTCAGTTCACTCACAGCTGATCGTAGTGATGACGGTGAGCGCCTAGGCGTTTATAAATCCTAACCACTGCATTATTATTGAGGCAGCTGGGTCGATTATATGGTGTCCAAGTTCACAAAATCTCTATCATCAGAGGCGGATCCAGCTCAGAGTTTTTTTTTTGGGGGGGGGGGCAAACCATAACAATTTATCGATTCCTTCCATGCATCGTCCATAGGCGTAATGTTAAAATTATGCCGTTTGGGGGGGGGCAAATGCCCATTTGCCCCCCCCCTGGATCCGCCACTGTCTATCATATGGATTCCTAACCTACGATAACTATAACTAGCCTTCCTATAACTATAACTAGCCTTACTAACCTCCGGTAAGTTGTGAGGCACCTGGTCATAACTCCATAGAACATACGCGACAGCCTGTTGCGCCCTTGGGCAATGCAGGCTGTTACTTTTACCCAGGAACAGGTAATGAGAAACCTGTATGTATTGACATTAGAAATCCATATGATATAGATTTTGTGAACACGGAAACTTATATAATCGACCCAGCTGCCCGACCTGCACGCACACACCTGCAATTATATACGGTTATATAACACATCTCATTCAGCGTCTGCACACAGCGCGTTCTTATTGCGCACAACAGCGGCATGTTTATCCCATTGTGCGCTCTCCATGTCTCTCTATGTCTGTCCGCAGGCCGGTCGCAGCGGTCCCTCTGTCGGGGGAAGGATGACCCCCCCCCCCGCCGCACACCGGGTCTGTCACGTCACGGCCGTCATCGGCAGACCGGCGTGCCATTCATCGGCGGCGGCGTGACGCTCCGTCGCCGCCGACGGGCCGTATAAAAGCGGCGTCGGCGGCGACGAGAGCCAGAGCAGCCCACCATCCGCCTCCGGACGCAGCCGCACTCACCCTCCGCACACCAGGTGAGCCAGCGGGGCCAGCGGTACCCGGTACCCGGTACTCGGCACCCGGTACCGGCAGCGGTACGGCCGGGCCACCAGCTGGTGACCGGCACCAGTGACGGCGGTGCAGGACGGTGTTGGTGACGGTGACGCTGGTGAAGGTGGTGGTGGACGTAGACCGATCTGCGAACCCTCGAACTCACCCACTCTCGTGCGGTATCTATCGGCCCTTTATCAAAGCGACAGTAGCGGGTGCCCCCTGTATGTATGTAATTGGTTAAGACACATGCAGTGAAATGTTGCAAAATGATACATAATGGGACACTTATGTATTTTGCCTTGGTGAAAAGCATATTGCTCTCATTCTCTCATCTTAAAAGCAGCTTTTTGAGAGTGGAAGTTAAATGCATTTCATCTTTGTTCAGATACCAAATTTTTCTAACTTCCTGTTCGGAGATTGTACCTACATATGTATCAGTCATATTTATCTAGCATGAGCTACTTCAAACTTATCTCGATTATTCATGAAAGGCCGTCAGTTTTGCCATAAATCTTTCCATTCTACAATGTGGGCTGTCACTCGCAAACACGTTACATCGTATACTTCTTGAAGCATCATGGTCGATCAATCATTAATCTAGCAAACGTCAGTTTTCCCACTAATTTGCATGTTAGTCGCCACCACACTACATTATCTGGACTTCTGTGGCATTTACGGGGAGTATCCAATGCAACCATCGATCCCAAAGATTCACTCCAGTCGCTGTTCTAAAAGGTTGCTCGTAATGCATTCTTTTCATGTGCTTGACGTTACAAGTTGTACGCTACCCTATGAAGCTGGAGCAGTCAGTAACAAAGCAGCCAGGCTCATCCCGTCCATGTATCGAACAAAAGAACTGAATAACTTGTCCGTGCTCAGCGCTATTACATTTCCAGTTGGGTGTTCCTATTCTGTGCTGTTATTGAGAATGTTATACCATCTGCGCAGTGCACCGAGCTAACCTGAACGCACTAGGCTACCGCCCATGTTTCTGTCAGTGTGTCTCAGTCGACTATTTAGCGTTCGTGTTCACTGCCCAGTGTCTACCCAGTGTCATTTACTTGTGTCAACTCCCCTGACTGCCGCCATTTTGTCCTTGCCGTATCATCTATACGACCTATTCGTTTTTTCTGCTCCTGAGGCGCTTCGTTTGTTCTGTAAATTCTACTCTTCAAAATTACATCCACTTGCGTACGTATAGGGGAAATCCATTGTATGTATTTTGTGAATATTATTTGACTGCTTTCCCCTTTTTTTAAAGCATTCACCGGTCCCCGCAAATACTTAGGTGCCTACTGCCTAGGCAGAGGAGTGACATGCTTAATTTGAACAATTTACTGGCTTCGTGTTGGAATTATGCAATCCGCGTGCCTACATCTGCGTGGCTCCGTCTCCGACTTAATTTTCGTGGCTTTATCACGTTTATGTAAATCCATTTACACGTCTCCTATATGTTTCGTGTTTAGACTTCATGTCTCGCATTAGGTATTCAGTATGTTCCGACCTACGTGATGATCCCGTAGCTCCAGCTTTATCGAAACAGAAAACACCGTCCCCGGTGGCTCTTTGCAATCTCCTTATGCCATGCCTCCGTCTCCGAAAGTGTCTCTCTCGTGTCTCTGCCACGCCCGCGTCTAACTGTGGTCGTGTCTCCTTCCATGGTCGTGTCTCTCTCTATGTCTCCTCCCCATGTATCTGTTGTGTCTCCGTCATGTCTCCGCCTGTCCCCGTGTCCGTCTGACGTCCCGTGCCCCTCTCCGCCGTGTCTCCGCGTCCCTCTGACGTCCTGTGCCCCTCTCCGCCGTGTCTCCGTGTCCGTCTGACGCTCTTTGCCCCTCTCCTCTCACCCCCAGCCACCATGAGGACCGGTATCGTCTGTCTGCTGCTGAGCGCCCTGGTCGCCCTCGCCCTCGGCGCGCCCGACCGGTACTCCAGCGACGAGCTCGACCTGGCCACGCGACAGGTGGGTGACCCGGCCCGGGTCGCGCCACGGGCGGCCCCAGGCACACTGCTAGGAGGGACGCGGCCGGGTCGAGGAGCGGAGGGCGCAGTGATTGGTCTTTGGTGCGGGTGGACGCGCGGGCCCGCCCCACTGGGAGGACCTGGGGTCACGCCACGTGCCAATAGGGTGTGGGGGCGCTGAGAACTCGCCACCTGAACTCATTACCGTTAATGAGAATATGACGTCATTGGCAAGGGAACCAGGAGACGAGCGAGATGAGCGAACGTGCCAAAATGGCGGCCCGCTTTATTGATTGCAGTGCAGGATCTCGGTGACCTTTTCCAACACACTAAAGGAATGTCTGCATTGGACGTAAAAACTGTAATCAAGAACATTACATGATATCAAACTACAGTTGACTCGTTTCCGTTCCCGATCAGAATACGCTCAGAAATGGCTTCATTGTGCCGTCGAATGCCCGAGAAACAAAAGACGCCAACAGTGCTCATTTCTGGTCGAAATAATAAACCGTTTTTGAACATGGTTTAAATAACCGAAGATCATTCAGTCATGCTTCAATGCATGTGCGATGCGATGTGGTGAAATACCGCAAGCATGTTATCTACTAAATCGGAGGTTCCGCGTGTATACGCCTTCTTCTACTCCAACATTCACAAAAATCGAAGTGTTATAGACATCCAAGACATATCGTTAAATGCGTGTCTCTTTCTTTTGTTATTAGTTCAGGTATTTAAATCTACTGCCCATTCAGTGTCCGCCTACCCGGCTCCCTTATACAAGTTTCTGTGTCAGCATCTGGCGGCCGGGAGAAGGCTCGCGATGTTCCGGGCTAAATTGCGAAATTGTGCAGTCGACTGAGGAGCTCGCGACAACCTGTTATATTTGCAAAGTTCCCCGCCGCGCTACACTTGAAAGCGCCTGCTAAGCCCGCACGAAAACGCATAATGCGGCGGGTATAATTGTTCCGGATACGCTAACGATCGCCGACAGCCTGCGCTGAGCGCGGCGAGAGCAGGTGCCTACCGGGTGAGAGCGAGTCCCCGCTGTGTGTCATCGACTGGCACCGGCGGGTACCTACACGGGTACGCGGTACACAGTACACGGGTATAGAGGTACTGATGAGTGATGACCCCCCGGAGTCCGTGAGGGCAGCGAGGTCAGCGCCTCAAAGCTCATTAACGTCAGACGCCCAGCTGCGAACGCGAATAGGAAGATTATGCCAACTCGTGAGAAAGGATCTCGAGTGAGACTTATTAATGTATTAGATCCTGAATTGAGTATTGCCTTCGCTTAGCGTAATGATCGTGAAAATTATGATTGATGTGTTTTTGCTTAATGCAGGATCATCCACAAGCCAATCAAAGACTAAAGCCTTGCGGATTTTGCCGAAGCGGATGCTAATTGCCGTTGTTCGGAGGACTCTCACTGTGTTTTCATGTTTGGCACGCAACGTTCCGAATTAAGCCTGTAATCTAGTGTTGAGGTCGTAACCGACAGAGCACTCTTTGATGGCGAAAAGTGAGTCAGCTGCCAGCGCCAGGGCTCTATTTCAGCTGTAGCACGTATCAGCACGGCTGGGTCAAGTTTATACCGGTACTTTCCACGGGCGATAGCCGCGAGTTGCCCTGCCCCGCCTCTCCTCTGCTCCCGGCGTCTCTCCCGTCTCTCTCCAGTTCACGTTCTCCGTCCCTCTACCCTCTCCATCTTTGCCTTCCTACCATCATCATCTGCTCTTTCCCGAGGCTGTTCCCGTCCTCTGCCGGTGAGCACCGAGCAGGGTAAAGGCGTGTCCCTCGAAAGGAGTGGGCGGGCCGTGACACTTGTCTGGCCCGCTGCTGACCTCTGCGACCTTCTGGCGGACAGATGCGTCCCCTGAGGCGGCCGAGTGTCGCTCAGATTCAGTCAGAGAGGCTGCGACGCCGGCTGATGCGACACGTGCTCGAACTGAGGTCAGAACAGGTAGATACGGACGGTATTGGTGGATCAGTGGCGGTCAGTGAATTTGGCAGAAATTCGCCACCGTACCGAGACTTGAGGGAGTCATTTGAGTTAGCTCGCTATAGATAAGGCCTAAATGTCAGTGCTTGCGGCATTTCAATGGCTCAGCCTCGTAATTTAAGCATGAATCTCATGAGAAATGAACGCTGGTGTGCGAAACCTACGGCGTTAATTTTCGTTTATATTGTTCCTTGTAATATAAAATCGGCAGGAAACGTCAAGCCAAGCAATGAATATCTTCCGGCTAGACTATTATCTTCAGGAGGCAGAGCTGGACCAAATCCGTATGGCTTACGGCCGGCATGCCGACTCTTGTGGTGCTCTTTGCCGCGGACCGAGTTGAGATTCTCGGCTCAGCCAAATTCAATCTGTCTCTGGAGAAACGGACGACACCTTTTTTCTCGGAACACGTTCAGCCGAGCGCCTTCTCGTGACACGCATCATATGTAAGTGCCACGCTCGAGAACCCGACCTGTCATCCGAATTAGTCGCGAGCGGTGAGGACGCGCTTGTGGCCCGCATATCAAGCGTCTCGGGTCGCCCGTCCGCCCGCGGTCGGTCCCGGTGGCGGCTGTTCAAAGACGCCGCTCGCGGAGCGTAGCTGAGCTGCCGGCTGCCGACCTGTTGGCTGCCGGCCGCCCAAAAAGCGCCGTCGCTGAGCCGCTGCCGACGCCAGTCAATGAACCCGCCGGCGGTGGTGCGGTAAAAAGTCAGCGGACCTCACCGTGGCTGGCTCAGCGGCGCCGCTCCGGTGACACGGTGGCGTCACAGGGCGTCAGCGCCGGTCAGCGGGTCAGGCGGGGTGGCCACCCCAGTCAGCGGGCCAGGCGGGGTGGCCGCCCGCCCCCGGTCAGCGGGTCAGGAGGGGGTGGCCGCCCTGGTCAGCGGGCCAGGCGGGGTGGCCACGCCGGTCAGCGGGTCAGGCGGGGGTGGCCGCCCGCCCCCGGTCAGCAGGTCAGGCGTTGTGGCCGCCCCGGTCAGCGGGTCAGGCGGGGTGGCCGCCCGCCCCCGGTCAGCAGGTCAGGCGGGGTGGCCGCCACGGTCAGCGGGCCAGGCGGGGTGACCGTCCTGGTCAGCGGGTCAGGCCGCCCCGGTCAGCGGGTCAGGCGGGGTGGCCGCCCGCCCCCGGCCGCTAGCGGGGTGACTGTCCCTGGCCGCTGATCCGCTCAGCGACTGCCAAAAAATAGAAATCGCCAAAGGACACCACACGAATGTAAATTTCGGAGGGTGGAAAATACCTACACAGGCGGCGCTGAAATATAAAATCGTCAACAGTCCAGAGGCTCTCATTAATGTGTGCCAGGTGTCCATTCCAACTCTTGAAAGCCGTCAGTTGGGTTGTATTTACTGACAGTTTAGGTGTGGGTATTTTCTAGGGAATCTGTTCACTGTACCCATTGCCATTGTAAGTTGTAACCAGGCGTTGACACAGTCAAATGTTCCGCTCGCATTTCCCGCCTCGAGCTTCAATGATACCTTCGTTGACCTTTATGGTTAAATACTAGGCCAAAGGTCAAAGACCGGACGGCTGAAATTTTCCGTCCTGTTCGGGTACCTGTTTTCGGTCCTGTGATTTCCCAGTGGTCACTCGTTCCGGGGATTCCGATTTCCGAGTAAGCCAGGGATGACGATTTGCTGAGGACCACGTGTGGGGGCGGCGAAATATGCAACTAATCTGGGCGACCGCTCGCCCTGGTGTAGTGTAGCCGGGGCTGGGACTGTTGAATGAGCGGACCCAGGCCGAGCTCAAAGGCTAGGAAAGCCAAAGGAGCCTGTTGAATAGCTCAAGCTGTAGGCAATTAATTGAGCCAGACCTTGCCCCATAACAAAGCTGACAAAACAGCGGGGTCATGGTTAAAGTCTAGGTTTGCGTGAGCTCTGCGAAGTCTTGGATGAGAGCTTACATGGAATTGGATAGAACATGAATGAAGTTTGGTGACCGTGTAAATTGGTCACCGGCCGGCAGCTCGATTCGGTCACGGGAAGCCGGCTTCCAGCGTGATCAGTAGTCGCTGCTCACAGAGTTGGTAACCAGTGGTATTCGGCTCAGCGGTCAGCGTTCAGTGCTCAGTCAGTAAGTGGTCAGTGGTCAGTCAGAAGCAGTCAGCAGTCAGTAGTCAGGCGGTCAGCAGTCAGCGATAGTCAGTCCGGTTCCGGTGTTTATCCTGCAGTTTCGGCTGTGCTCGTCTGACCGTAAACGGACCGTAAAAACGTTTCCTGTTGACGGTATCGACCATGCCGGCCAGCCAGTTGTTCGACTGGTCGATACAGGTCACTCATTCCAGAAAATCGTGCATCTATTTGTGTCAAGACCGATCCACAGCTATAAATACTTCCCGAAAATATTTATCTTCATGACTCGAGATTGTTGTAATTTGCCGTAGGTATCTTACTGATATGCAGTACAGGGCTCTCGACGTTTAGGCCTATTCATCTGACGTTTATGCCCAGATTCCGTCATGCATGGTACTTACCTGTCATTTACCTCCAGACAAACAAGATTTTGTGCAGATGTCTAATTTTAGTTTTTGCCACTTATATTATGTTCGATCAGACGATACTTTGCGTCATTCATCTAGAGTTCCAGGGTTTCATTGATGCTGAGCAATCAGGGCTTCAGTCGACTCTTATTCAGTCCAAGCACCACAAAACCATACCCACCCACACATACCCAGCAATCACTATATCGACAATCGGGGCCTGACAAAATTACGACGGCATTTTAGCGTTTCCTTCTCATCTAATGTGCCTGCAATTACCGGCCTAATAGAGTCGCTGAGTAAATCTGTCGCTGGCGGCCCGAGCCGGAATAATGAGCTGCTCAGGTTTCTGGCCGCGCCCGTAGACATTCCCGGCCGGCGGGGTGTCGTTTGTCGCGGACTCGGGGTGGGGCGGTGTACCTGTCCTGGGAGCGGCCGTGCTCCGCCCGCCCCGGCCGGCCGTACCCAGATGGCATCGGGGGACAACAGCGGCCGTCCGCCGTCCGCGCAGAGAGGGACGAGGTATAACAGGGGGACACAGCGGCTCCCATAGCTACCTGATGAGGGACGAAACCGCTCCAATATGTAGATGTCTGGCTCCGCAGAGACGGAAACGGAAGGGCTGTGCTCTGTCTGCCGGTGCGGCGGGAAGCAATCTGTTCACAAAATGTCACCTAGCCATGCGGAACCGGAGCATACGACCTTTGGAGAAGATGCCTAGTTGTAGTTATTGCGGTGGGTTTGATTTAATATGTTTCAAACATTGCTTAGCCAACCTAAAGTTTGTTAAGTAATATGGGATCATTTGTTGGCTGTTACATATTGGACACAAGAATAACTGGGCATGAGTTAACATGAACATTACCTACCGATGAAATCAATGGCCGGTCACTCGCCGAGGGCCAGATTCTGTCGCCATCTCCCTCCATCCAATCGCGGTTCGGTGCGTCGGGCCGGCGGCGACCGGCGCTCTCCCCAGGGCCCTGTCTGGCCGGGTGTGTCCAAACGCCCGGCGCCGCGGCGGGCCGGAGGACGCCGGGTCCAAACGCCGCCGGCCCGCCCCAGCGACCAACTTGGGCCCGCTATGGCCCGTGCAGTTCCGACCGATTGCTCTGGATACTGTATGAGCGGCCGACCGTCTGAGACCGCCGGCCGGTCCGAGACTGGCCACATGGGCCGCAGCGGGATAACGGAAAATACGGGGTGGAGTGGGAAAGGTGAAGGGGACGAAAATAGACACGGAGATGGGGGATATGAGTTTTCAAATGGACCAAACGGCAGGACTGTGTCGCTGCTGGATATGAGGATGCGAGGAAGGGTGGCTGAATGGACGGCCGTCCGCCCTGTACTGTGACACGTCACCGGTTTGCCGGCAGATGATCGGTGAGCTGGCCGGCCGAATCCTGCGCCTGGCCCGCCCCGCCAGCGCCCTGGGCGCGCAGAAACGCAACTCGGAGCTCATCAACTCGCTGCTCGGCCTGCCCAAGATCATGAACGAGGCCGGCCGGTGAAGGGGTGAGTGCCGGGGAGAGGGAGGGCAGCGGAGCTCATCAGGGAGCGCCCGTTGCCGGGTGGGAGCGGTGGCAATGACACCGGCTCTCGGATTTTTCGCCGCCGTCCGGCTCCCGTCACTGCCGCCCGCAGTCTGAGAGTAATGAATAAAAATGGTGCCATTTGCGCGGCCGGCCCGTCCGCCCGGGAGCTGTGTGTTTGCCGAGGCCCGCGCGGACCCGGCCCACACCGTTTGTTATTTGCCGGTGTCGGCTGTCGGCCGGTGGCGGCGCCATCCGGCCCGGCCCGGTCCCAGGGCAATCGTCTCGCCTGACGCCATCGGTGCGTCTGTTTCAGTCGCCGGCTGACGGCCCAGCGCCTGCTGCTCAATAACTCCGGCGGCGGCGGTCAGCCCAGCGCAGCGCCCACTCGACCGAGGCGACACCTGGGACGGCCGCCGCGTGTACATACCGTATAGGCGGCGCCACCGTCGGGCTCCGCCGCACAATCACCCACTCCGCTGCTGTGTTCCGCGGTTTCAGCCCGCTCCGATCGTACGGTAGAATATGTGCTCGTCCCCATCCAATCCCGCGTCCCGAGCCGCCCGCAAGGGCAGCCAGACGCCGTGGGTCGGAGAGGGACGTCAGAGACTGACGCGTTCGTTCCTTTCTCTGTCATGAGTTCATTTGTTCCACGACCGTCGATCTGAAACCGTGCCAATACAGAGCTTGGAGAATCATAGGTGCTCTTTATAACCCAGAACGCATCCACGAGTGTCAGATCGTCTAGCAGTTCGGGCGAACCGTCCAGTCATCGGTACCATATAATAATCATTTCACCGTCGCACACGCCCCGCGCTCCTGCAGTGCGCTGACGACAATCCGTCTACACAGCGACATCCCAGCGGCGCCGGAGCCCCAGCCGGAGCCTATAAGAGCGGCCTCCCACACACTAAACAATCCTCACCGCACGGAGAGCCCGCCGGGCGCCGTACGGGGCCGAACCAGTCACCGGCGCGGCGCCGTCCGACTCAATATCACAGCGGCACCACAGTCGCACACCATCGGCCGCGACAGCCTCTCAGCACACACGGGGTCGAGAGACGGGTCACGACGGTCCCTTGGGACACACATGGGCCGCGACAGCCCCTCGGAACACATACGGGCCAGAGGCAGACCACTTCAGTCCCCTGGAGCACACCACCGGCCGCCCCAGTCCCCTTGCGCACACACTCGGCCCGAGGCACAGTCAGTTGGGACACACACGGGCCGCGACAGTCCTCACAACGCACACACACGGGGCCGAACACACACGGCCCGCAGCAGCCTCCGGCACATAGAGGGCCCCCGGGAGATGGTGGCACGCTAACAGCTCGACAGCGCCAACGGACAGCTGGATAAGAGAACAGGTGGCTACGGAGAGTGCTCAAAGACCGCACCTCGCGCTCATGTCACCTCTGTTTCGACCTGAACAAAGGAGAGACAAGAGGCGTGTTCACACTCGCTCAATAGGTTACAGCATTTACACAGCGAACCGGCACCGGGCGGCGAGTCTCGATACAGTGCATGTGTCCGTCGTACATCACATAGTCCCAGACCGGCAGGGTGTTACGGGGTGTTACGGGCCGACTGATTTCAGTATACCGTCCACGGCAGCGGGCATAAAGGCGGCCGAGTGTCCACTCTGGACGACTCCTCCACGACACATCACCGCCGAGCCAGAAATTCAGTCAGTAATCAACCATTACAGTCAGCCATCGGGAGCTGCGGGCCTCCTTCACAACTCCGGACCGACAATCTACGCACCTGTCCCAGTGGCGGATCCTGGGGGGGGTCCACGGGGTCATGACCCCCCCCAAAAGGTCTGAGAGGGTCATTTGACCCCCCCCAAAAGCCGAAGACCTAAATGCGCTATAGACGCCGTCTTGCATGCTCAAAATCACATGTCAAACACTTCTGAGCTAATACCTTTGTTTTTCTGGATCGTGTTGCGTGAAAAGGCGTATTGAAGGCCAGAATCTTACTCATTTTTGTCTCAACCGTGCGAGCACCAGGGGATGATCCAGGAAAACTCCAAGGGGATGGTCATGAATTTAATTCGTGGTGCCCCTACCTATACGCAAAATTAAAAACTCAACGGATTTCGGCCACTTAATTTTGGTGATGTCCTATTTCCATTTTTTTATTTTGTTTGTTTTATTTTTAGTGCCCCTGGGCCCTGGCAGGTCAAAATCACGTCGGAGGCGAAAGAAATTCACGGGAATCCCAAAAATCACGTCAGGACATTCAGGGCACTCTGACCAGCCTGACAGCTAGGGCCCTTCTTACTTCCTGGGGCCTCCAGTGAATAACCGCTAGTGTCTGTGTCGGCCCCTCTGACTCCTCAGTAGGTAGGAGGCCCTCTGTAGAGGAGACCCTCTGTGGAAAGGAGACCGCCTGAATGCAGAAGGCCCTCTGAAGAGAGGAGACCCGCTGTAGAGAGAAGGCCCTCTGAAGAAAGGAGGCTCTCTGTAGAGAAGAGGCCCTCTGAAGAGAGGAAGCCCTTTGCAGAGATGAGGTCCTCTGGCTCTTTGAAGAGAGGAGGTCCTCTGTAAAGGAGGCCCTCTGAAAGGGAGAGACCCTCAGTAGAGAGGAAGCCCTCTGTAGAGAGGAAGCCTTCTGTAGTTAAGAGGCCCTGTGAAAAGAGGAGGCCCGCAGTAGAGATCGGTGGTCCTCTGTAGAGAGGAGACCCCCTCTGTGTTTTGACAAATGTTTTTGCAAATTTTTCGCGGCGCTTCGCGCCGCCGATTCATGTACATACGTACAGGTCAATATGAAATCGTGACTGTAATTACATAAACCAACCGTGTCAAATTGAATCAGAATTCATATGTGTACTGTGAAGAAACTCCGGCTTGTACTGCCATGCTAAAAGGGTGGTAAAATTTGTGTTTTGGAGCGGAGCTGTGTTTTGACACATTCTTTTGCAAATGTTCTCGGCGCTTCGCGCCGCCGATTTATACACCAATCAATAAGAGAGATCGTGACTGTAATAACACCAACCGTGTCAAATTGAATCGGAATTCATATGTGCACTGTGAAGGAACTCCGGCTTGTACTAGCATGCTAAAAGGGTTGTAATATTTGTGTTTTAGAGCTGTGTTTTGACAACTTTTTCAAATTTTTGCGGCGCTTCGCGCCGCCGATTCATACACAGGTCAATAAGACAGATCGTGACTGTATGCTACTAATGCATTGGGCATTAGACTAATGCATAAGTGAGGTAACTATATCTACTACTTCTGGGTTTTTAAGTCGGTCGATCCGCCCCCCCCCCCCAGTAAAAAAATCCGTGGCGACGCTCCTCTATAGGTGGGTTTCACTAACTAAAACTACTGAGCCGAGTGACTTACGATAAAACTTCAACTCAGAAACGACGAAGATCAAATGTCATTGGATCTCGACATACTCGCTCCCTACCCCCCCCCCCCGGTCGTCAGAATTCATTCATCAGACCTGGCATGTCGGCCGACTGGTGACCCCCCCCAAAACGTTCCCCTAGATCCGCCCTTGACCTGTCCGGAAGAAGGCCACGACGAGCGCTGACAATGTACGACACCAGCACCTCCCGCTAGACCAGCTCGCTACGGGTCATCTGTCTACAGTCCGTCCCCTCACCTTCCCGGGGATGGAGTGGAACCTGGACCACGAACAGCACAACATAACACAGAGCTCAACGGGGCCCTTCGCCGCGCCCTAGTCGAGAACACGGGTAGAATCGGACCCGGCCGGGCCGCCTGCCGCCACCGCCAGTCTTTCCGTCTGACGTCATCACTGTGTGACGTCACCATCAGTCGTCATCGACGCCCAGCGGCCTCCGTTTGTTGAAGAAGGGCAGCTTGGGCACCAGGCCGAACAGCAGGCTGACGAAGTTGACCACGAAGTGAGACGTGTCGTAGGCAGTGTAGAAGCTGGCCAGGATAAACCTGGGGGGGGGGGGAGGGACGGGGAGTCAGGAGCGGCGGGGAGGCCGGGGCAGTGACCCCAGCAACTGCGATTGCGTCATGGGGGTAGAATAAAGTAGGCAGGGCAATCACAGCCGCCACTGACACCGAGTAAAAATGGTAGGTATAATTACTTTCAAGTTAATGACAGCGCACCCTCAGCTGTTCGCGGCTGAACCCCTGACGAAACCGAAACCGATATGATATCGATACTCATCACACCCGCGGCCAAAGACGAAACACGATATCGTCTGATACGCTGCAGAAGGGGCCCAGTAATTCACCGGTTACTCAGTAATAAGTAACTATCTCACTGCCCCATCCCGACCGTCGTTTTTCCCGTACCCGTCTCAGAGCCCGCCAGCCGCTGTCTCCCCCCTCTCCCCTCCCTCTGCAGGTGCTCTCTCCTTCTCTCCGAGCCTGCCAGCCGCTGCCGCTGCTCTCCTCCCTCCCCCCCCCCCGGTATATACTGTATACTCACAGCGCCACCGGTATGGTGATGAGGAACGTCTTGGTGGGGGTGTTCTGCCGTCCCCCCCCCCTCCCCCGGTACTGTACTCACAGTGCCACCGGTATGGTGATGAGGAAGGTCTTGGTGGGGGTGTTCTGCCGTCCCCCCCCCTCCCCCGGTACTGTACTCACAGCGCCACCGGTATGGTGATGAGGAACGTCTTGGTAGGGGTGTTCTGCCGTCCGCCGTCAATCTGTTCCCAGTGAGACAGGGTCGTACAGCCGCCCTGGTCGCCCGTTTCCCACGGGGCGCCCTTCACGCTGTGCATCAGCCAAAAGTTGATCTGCGGGGAGGGCGGGGAGGGTGAGACGCGGCGCAGATTACGGGACATTGGTGGTGTATGAACAAACCGACCATCGCCCAACGCTCCCCACTGGTCAGCGGCTGTGAAGGGAGGTGCATCGTTACAACAGACTGCTTTTATTGTGTGATGCCGAGCGATGCTGATTTAATGTGTAGCTCATATAGGGGTCCGACAGTACCGGACTCACTCACTGCGCCAGCTAACCATGTCGACATGCATCAAACTGGTCATCTGCGTCAGTCCCTGGGCACGGTTCAAAGCCCCCAGCGCCATATTTCAGTCCACCCAAGCCTGCAGCAAAGCCCTTCAGTTCATCGAGTCCCCCACTGCAGTTTTGGTGTTTTCGTCCGCCATAACCCGCCGTAATTCTTGAACAAACCATTACCTACTCAAACAATCCAAGGCGCGGCAACCTTTCTAAATTTGAGCTCAGTCAAAATAATGTAATGTTTTTTTTTCAACATTTCACAATGCACTGGACAATGTGACGCAATCCACAACAGCCTGGAAGCAAATGCAAAAAAAAAACAGGCAAGTATCTGTGACTCCAGCCGGCCCTCCCCGTCCGCCTAGCCGTGCGCCGTCCGGCCATCCGGCCGTCCGCCGGTGCCGTCTACCCGGGACCGTTTGCCGGATCAGCGTCGTGTCAGGAGGAATTAAAGTCACAGGTGCCGGTAACGGGCTAATCTCAGCCATCAGCGCGCGACGGCCGGCCCGACCAGGCCAGCTCGGCGGCCGACTGAGGTCGTGGACAGTCCCAGGGTCACGGACAGCCACACTAGGGTCCCGGACCGTCACACCAGGGCAACTTACGGACAGCCACACCAGGGTCACGGACCGTAACACCAGGGATCACGGGCCGTCATATCAGGGTCAGGGTTACGGACAGTCCCAGGGTCACGGACCGTCACACCAGGGTCAGGGTCACGGACCATCAGATCAGGGCCAGGGTCACCGAAAGTCTCAGGGTCATGGACAGTCCCAGGGTCACGGACAGCCACACTAGGGTCACGGACAGCCACACCACGGTCCCGGACCGTCACACCAAGGTCAGGGTCCCGGACCGTCACACCAGGGTCAGGGTCACCGACAGCCCCAGGGTCATGGACCGTCCCAGCAGGGTCAGGGTCACGGACCATCAGATCAGGGTCACCGAAAGCCCCAGGATCACGGACAGCCACACCACGGTCCCGGACAGCCACACCACGGTCCCGGACAGCCACACCAGGGTCAGGGTCCCGGACCATCTGACCGCTCACCGGGCCGGCCCGGCCCAGACCGGCGGACAGGGGTCAATCACGGCGCTCGGTAGTTGGAGCACGTGCCACGGCACACGGTCGGCGGTGAGGTCAACAATCAGAGAGATGGCGTACAAACAGCTTACGGCCGGGGCACGTACCGCCCCCAGGGGCAGCATACCACAGCAGCCGGCAATCACGGGCACAAACACACGGTAAAACGGTAACGAGGGCGCAAAGGTCAGACGGTGGCGGTGAATTATCGAGACCGGAAGACCCGGTGTAGAAAAAATAACGAGTCTAACGCGTAACAAATGAAACAAAGCCAGTAAAAGGACAGTATTCTTAAATTACATACGCCAATAATCTATCTTCTCAGTCTCCCTAACATACATCGCCCCCTCCATTCCTTCCCCCCCCCCCCCACGATGGCCTACAATCACACCCTACCAATATTCCATTCTAACTAATCCCCTTCCACTCAACTCATTCACCCCCTCCTATTCCCTCGCGCATTCCCCTCTCTTCACTCTTTCAATCCCAAACGCTCCCCCTCTCCCCCCCCGCGCCCCGGCTCCGGCTCACTCACAGCGTTGTGAATGACGTTGGTGAGCGTCCAGGCGGTAGCCACGCTGATGACGGGCACGGCCAGCAGCGCCAGGTGCAGCGCCGTCACGCCCACGATGTAGCTGAGCCACACGCCGCGGCTGCCCAGCCACGACACGTTCGGGTTGGTCTCACCGCGCGCGCCGGCGTACATCGCTGCTTCCGCTGCTGACTGACCACTGAGGGTGCGGGAGGGTGCGCCGGTCAGACTGTATAGCAGCAGGGAGGTCACTGGTCACACTGTACAGTACGGTGGGAGGTCACCTGTCAGACAGCAAAGCAGGGAACTGGGAAGGTCACTGTCAGATGGTACAGGCGAGGGAGGTCTCCGCTCAGAGGTTGAGGGGAGGGAGACAGATCAGACAGCATATGAGAAGGGGCAGAATATCATATGGAGCAAAGAAAAGATGTGTAAGAGAGGGGAACAGGGGAGGGGACAAAACTATATTATCATTATATTTTGCTCATTGTTTTAACATCATGAGTTTTATATAGGTAGGTAGGGTTGTTAGGGTCCCAGTCCTACCAACAACTTAGAATTTTAACATTAGTCCTATGACAGTGCCACTTAGAATTTTAACATTAGTCATTAGCCCTATGACAGTGCATGGTTAGAATGGCTCTGGTATCCTAAAATTACCTATTAAGAGTTACCAATAAATTAAGGAAAGTGATGCCCATTTAAGCATTATATCTGACACAACTGTAACATTAGCAGCATAGGTAGAGAAAAAGGAGTTTTGCTCAAAGATTACTCAAAGATTGGGATTCAGCTAGCTGATATCTCAATTATATTCTTATTACACTAATTAATGAAAAATTAACTACACTAATAAGCAACTAGGTATTTAATACCCAGGACATGTAAAAATGCATATAGTAGCATAATCAGTATATGTGAAGATGAAGTCTCTTAGTAGTCTGAGTGGAATGTACAGTGTCCCAAAATTGTGATTTGGCTTGGCTGTCAGATGGAAAATTCCTCTCCAAAAAGGGGGATAAGAATGGAAAATTTACCAGTCAAAAAGAGTGGAAAAGAGATCTATGGCATACATTTCTATACAGTGAGGTAAAATGTAATATGTAAAATGAAAGTGAGGTAAAATGTAATACCTATGTAAAATGACCAATGCAAATGCTTATTCTCAGTAAGGCTGGGAGTGGGAAATTGCTTTTAGATATTAGAGATGAGAGTGCAAAATGATTTTTATTTGGATGTTGTTTCCCACCCAAATTGAAATATTTTGGGACACTGGGAATGGATGTTGGTAGGTTGTAGGTTGTAGGCTGGTAGGCTGAAGGTTAGTAGGTCGGTAGGTAAGGTTAGATTGCTTTTATCTACTCAGACTTCATCTTCACATTTATCACAAATTCTACCACTGAAAAATGATGAATGTCATTTTCAGGCCTTAGAATTACTAAGCACTAAGCAGCCACCCTGACCCATTTATTAGCATCCATTTTGACTAGAAGCTGAAGCAACTTCTCTTTCTCTAAAAACATGGAAAAACACTGGCAGAAGGTATTGCGTTTCATATCAAGTTTAAGGTTTAAATTATTTCAGCAGCTCTCCTTTCCTGAGTAATTCCATCATTAAATGTAAGAACTAGGCATGCAGAAATCATGGAGGCACTACTTAAAACAGGGCACTTTGACCGCAAGTTTGATATTGAAGACTGAACCGACTATGCTGCACTCGCCATATGTTTTCATGAAATTATGCTGACGGATAACTACCTACGAATCATGGGCGCCGCCACCGGGGGGGACGGGGGGGACGCGTCCCCCCCACTCTCAGAATGGAAGGGGGACGTCCCCCCCAAACTCATTACGGAGCGAGCGAAGCGAGCTTAGTCTTTCGTAGATAACGGAAATTACTGAGTGTGAGCGGCCGGCACGCTTTTGCGAGGCTTATATCTCAGCAGCCACTTGACCGAATTACATGCCATAATTTTCGGTAGGGTAGCTTTATACCTTCTAACAAGTGTTGGACTATTCCCGATGCATGTGCATGACCCCTTATGCACGTGCCACGTAAAAAATGAAGAGGTGTCAGTTTTGTAACAATTTTGGCAAAGAAAGTTGGCATGTATAGGTAGGTACCCACTAGGCAATGCACATTCATGTGCTACAATTGGGGTGCTGCTGCACGTGCGAACGTGCAGGGGTCGATTCCAGATCTCGAGAACGGCTGAACCGATTGTGCTGAAATATGATACATGGTTAGGGACCGGTTAGTAGGGTACCGTGCAAAAGTCAGTTGGGACCCATTTTGCACGTGCGCACGTGCAGGGTGCCGCTTCCAGACCAGAGCTCGAGAACGGCTAGGCCGATTGCGCTCAAATTTGGCACATCGTTAGGGACCGGTTAGTAGGGTGCAGTGCACAAGTTAGTTGGAGGTACCCCCTTGCAATTTCGCACGTGCAAGGCCCACCCTCTCGCTCGCTCCGTTGGTCGCCCCAAAAGGCGTTTTACTGGTTGTTATCCATACCCGAAATTTGCTTAGGCCCGTCTGTCCAATGAGACCATTTCAGAGCCGGAAGGATGAAAGAATTAGTGGGAGACATTGGTCTGGGCAGCCACCCCAGTGACCCACAATTGGGCTGAACCCGACCAATTGAACAGGCGGCCCAGCCCACTGGCATTCACTGCACCCGGCAAAGGACTATAGCTCCAGTGGAGCCATTCCGCATGGGATAGTTGCCCATCCAGCCCGGAGCAGGGGGGTTGCGGCGTGGAGGAGAAGGATTTGACTGTCCTGAGGATGGAAGAGATAGAACGGTGCCGAATCTGAGAGGGTCCAGGAGGTTTACATACTCAGTATATGGCGTGTGGGCCTACATGCATTGGTCTGACCCCTGACACCTCGGCCAACAAAATCTCCAGCTCTTGTCCGACCTGTTATCGCGGAACTGCCGATTTTTGAGATCGTGATCAATGTGTGTCGTATAACACGACTGGTCGAAAATGGGCCTAATATATTTCGTCAAACCAGCCAAGAGAGCATGACTTTAAACCAATCCGACATCGAAGTCAAAATCCGAACAATTTCGAAGACTTCAACTCCAACTCTAGCCAAAACTATCAACTCCGACTGATTTCGGCTCCGACCCCACAGTTCTGCAGTCACACGACACTAAATTTCCAGCTTCTAAGAAATAAGCTATACGGTTGAGAGGACAACAAAACTTTGAGGCGACTTGACTACTTCACCTGGTGACCTGACCTAAGGTTTTCTGGTATCAAGCTTGTTACACGGGCTGCAAAATCCATATTTTGGAGCAGTTTTGCCTGATGTTTTTTGCCAATTTTCGCGGCGCTTCGCGCCGATTCATGCACAACCCAAAAACACAGATTGTTACTATACAACGCCCCCTCCCCCACGCGGGTATGTAATATGCATTTCCTATGCAATGTGCATTACCGATCAGATTAGTGGCATACATCAGCAATTATAGCCTGATAGAGCACTGGAGGTTTTGCCGTTTCAAACTGAATCGGACATCGGATGTGTATATAGGTAGGTACTTGGTGGGAAATCGGTCTATAGCCATACCTAAACTACTTTCCTCAAACCAGTTGTTTTGCCACAGTTATGAGTTTTTATGCTTAAAATGGTCAGAAAATAACATAGGTAATGAATATTTGCAAAGAGGATTTTATTTTATTTTTACATAAGAACTGTTTTCCATCTTTCGTAGAGGCTACTTATATTGCAGCGGAAGCTGATTACGCGTTGACCAAGCATACTCGTATTACGTAGTTCAAACCAGCTGAATGCTGATTGGCTAGCATTTTTCCGTAAGGGAATGGATTCCTCGGTAATGGAATGACAAAGTGTAGTCTATGGGAATGACTTCAGTCTTCAAACCTAAAATCGATACCGATATCTTTGGCTAGGTTGAGCGTTGGGCCATAAAAGCTCTTGATTTGTTAATTCTTGTCTCAGCTCAAGCTACATAACTGTTACTTCAGTTTAAAACCCTTTGTTATAAGTGGCATATTTGCTTTAAACGTTCAATACGTCGGACCGAAAAAGCCACGGTAAGAATGTCTATTTTAGGGTTTTCAGTCGGTCAGTCCGTCCCCCCCAGTCAAAAATCTGTGGCGGCGCCCCTGAATATTATACTTCATGTCAATATAGTATGTACTGACATAGGAATGCAACATAATAGAAACATCATCATTGAACTTCTTGAACAAGCCTTTACTTTCTTTATCAAGCCATTCACATGATACTGTATATACTTACAACAAGCAAACCTTGGAGAGTTCAGTAGGTGGAACTATGGTCATGAGTACCCAAATATAGGAACGTTCCCATTTTTGGGAACGGAGTTCCCAAATATGGGAACGGGCGTTCCCATTTATGAGAACGGAAGGTAATTTTTCGGCCGTTTGCCCACTAAAACTCATTAGTGCATCACGTCTCAAAAAAGTGCACGCTAATTTAAGTATCTACTAAATCTCTATTAAATTATCTTTAATCTGACCGTTGAACAAGGAAATTGACCGTCGAATGATATTTTTAATGATTTTTTGAAATGACGGAATGGTGAAAACATGGGTTACACTACATTTAACATGCAATTTTAAGGAAAATTAAGCGTTTTTTACATTTTGAGGTCAAGTATAATAATTTTCGCCTGGTTATGAAGTTTCATACTAGCGACACCAGATGCTGACATATGCAAGCGAACACGCGGACAGTCCCGAGGTAATATTGTTGACATTTGGTGTCGAGGCGGACGACCGCGTAGAACGTGCGTGATTTTTCCGAACTACTGTTGTAAACTCAGTTTAAGTGGTCGAAAATTATTCAGCTGTATTTTATCAGCCCGGAAAGACATATTTTATTTGGATGCTAGCTGTTTAGCGTTGTTTTATAAGGAGCGTCATGAGCGTGGTTTTTGTCTTCCGTGTTTCTAAGCATGATCGTTTTGGGGGAATTTCTCTTATATAGGTCGCTCTGTGTGGCTTATTTATAATTTCTATGCTGATTTCGATCATCCCTCGTGCCCATCCTACCAGGCCTTTTGCCACTTACACTCATTAAGAAAGGAAAAAACTAGATTTTCATTGGGACTAGGTGTTTTGAGGGTGTAACATATTCAGCGTTCCCATTTTTGGATACTTCCTTGTACTCGTCAACTATCGGTGATAAACAGACAGGTGCTTGACATGTCTCCACCCTCGGCACGGACGGTGGATATAGGTATGGAAGACCTTGTTGAACATCGCTGAGCGTTGTGAATTACGTAATCCTGCAGAGGGGGGCGTGCCCGCTGCGAGATCGACGGGAATAAAAGCGCAGAAGACCGGGCGAAACATGCGATGGTCTTGCCGGAAAGGTCATCTGATGATTGTTGCGTTAACAATAATTTGCGGCGTTGGACGTGATGCTTGTTAATGAAAAGAGCCCCTGAAAGGCGTCGGTGAAATCGTTCCCAATTATGGGTACGCCGTTCCCATAATAAGGAACGCTTGCAGCGCCAGTGTACGAGAGCGTTCCCAAATTTGGGCTCGCGGCCCAGATGATGGACTGCTTTAGAAATAGGGGAACGATTTTAAACTACGATGGGCCTTACAATATCAAACTCTTTCCCAACAATATTGCGACAAATATCAGGCGGTTCACGATCGTTTTATATTTTTTGGACGTCATTTAACGGTTCTTTTTCTTGTTTTAAATAATGCCTACATGGCGTTCCCATATTTGGGTTTATCGTTCCCAAACATGGGAACGAAAATGCGTTCCCGAAAATGGGTACGCTTGACCATAGTTCCGCCTACTGAGTTTTGAAAATAGTTTATCTGATCGACTTTGCACTTCAGATATAAATATGGCGAAAACCTGGCATGAGAAGAGAAAGGCCAAAACCTGTCCACGATGATCACACTAACTTCCACGTTACCAATCCAAACAACTTACAATATAGATATCTTATACACACAAGTCCCTACGACAATATGAAAATGAAATAACGCAAAAACGTAAAAAGGCAGCCGCCATACGTTTGTGAATAGATTGCTCCGGAAATTAGTGGATTTGGTGCGCTCTGTGACCCTATTTTCTGCAGTAAAGTATGACGTCACAAAACTGTCATAAGTTGAGGTTTTTAAAAGGCTTTTATTACCTTCAATAATAAATGGTGTTAAGAAATGCAATTAAAATTGTAAACTTAGAATATTATTTTGCTTAACTTGTAAAATATCGACAAACAGCGCATAAACAACTCATATTTCATTGGTTAAATGGGATGACGTCATAGGAATTATTACAGTTAAAATAGCGCAAGTTTCTTTAACACTTTTTCAACGTTTTTCGACAAATGGCGCAACAAAGACAAAATGAAATCAGCTGATGAGGTCCAACTCAAGGTCGCTGCCAGGCGCATGTTTTTTTTATCACACCGAAGAATATCAAACAATCGCTGAAAGGGCGACTTTCGGATGTTAGCTCTCGGCCCGCCTTGCTCGGGCTCGGCCCCGTCCTGTGTTCGTCCGTCGTCGTGCCCGAGAGTGCAGACCTTATGGGCCCCGGGCTCGGCTAGAGGCCTAAAACCATTATAGAGTTCAGTGCCTAAAACCCCAAAATCATCACCGACATAGGCTCTGCTGATTCAGATTGACAGCTGGAGTGGCAAGTCGATTCGATCGGCTTGAGCCTAATCATTGAGCCACGCACATAATGCGGCAGGTGCCACCACGCCACCATACCATACCGTTGACGTTGAGTCGTTGGGATAGCTACGCTGTCATATGCATGGCCAGTCCAGCCAGTCGACGGAATGATGCTGCCGTTGAACTGAGGTTTCGTTTATTGACCACAGCACTTCGAAAATACACTCTGCCGTTGAACTGAGTATTCGTGTATTGACCACCAGACTAGCACTTTGAACATACACTAAAAACACACGGACATAGCTCTCCACGGGGCGACTCAGAGTCCGATTTGGCTCCGAGCAGGGTGCTCCGTTCATAAGATAAGCCTCTCAGGCGCTCCGCACATTAGATAACCACACAGCGCGCCGTCATCCATTGTCTCCACACGCGGACGCAGCGGAGCGCCTGCCCTGGCTCCGGCTCAGATCGGCTACATGCTGGTAATACGGTACATTTGTACGGCGCACCACGCACCTTGCTGGCAACGCTCTAAGAGCTCGTGGTCTGACAACATAAGGTAACCCCGAATCCGATTGCGCGGCTATAGGCCGGGCCAAATTGTTATGATGTTGTGGGATTATTGGGCTATTGTGGGATAAATAGAACGCATGCTAAACGAGTACGACATGCACCATAGGCACCGCAAACTTGCTTACCGAGGCGAGGCAGCCAGTGCCAAAACACATCTTACGTTGAGGCAGATCAACAATCGGATCATAGTAAATATTGGTGATACCGGTCTACAAGAGACCTGAAACCTCTCACACCTCCAAGGCGAGCATGCCCAGATATTGGCAGTTTCCGTGTCAAATGCGGACCATTTTGGCTGGTCAGATCGGCCCCCAGTAGCCCGCCCGGTTGACCGGCCAACCTGACCCAGTCTCCCTGGTGTACCGAAAGGTCACCCGTCAGCCTCCCGCACCCGGTCGGTCTGCAGAGGCGCCCACTTAGTATACTTCTCAGAGAAACATTCGTCACTCATCGAAACATAATGATACTTAACACTTAACAATATCCTGCGAATAATGCACACAATTATCAGATCCAGTTGGGTATTTGGGAGTCCTGTCCCGTCTCACAGTCGCGCTGCTGTCTCAGAGCGCCGGCAGTGGTAACTGTTCGGCCGTCGGCTGCGGCTGCGGCGCCTCTACGAGGGCGCGAAGCCGAACACCTCGATGCAGGCGACCTCGAAGCTGCCGTGGGGCGCCAGCGGCGGGTTGGCGAACGTCTGGCAGCGGTCGGAGCGGCCGCGGCTCAGACTCTCGTCCAGCCAGATGGCCTGGCCGCCGCCGCCGCCGCCCACCGTCAGCATTGTTGTGTCGGCCGCCTGGAAGAGCTGCTGCTCGTGGCGCAGCGGCGCGGCGCGCGGCTCGCCGCCGGCCCGCGCCGCGCCCACCCACCGGTACACGCTCAGCTCCGGCCGCAGGCTGAACAGAAACGTCTCGCCTGCCGGACACGGGGTGAGACGGTCAGCAGGCGCAGTCGGGCACGGACGTGAGACATGGTGTCATAAATTATGGTAGTTGGAGGTTATGAAACACCAGAGGGAAAGGTACGCAGAAGTGTATTGCGTCATAATATTCAGCTTTTACGGTGGAGTTCACAGCCATAACGGCAGTATGCGCGGACGAGGGGTTAAACTTGAAACACCGCTTGAACCGCAAATAAACATTAAGGAACATTTTAGTTTGAATATCCCGCAACTGATGAATTTCTTAAATTTATGTCCGTAGATGTCGCTAGTAGTAGCGCCTGATGGTAGGCTGTACCGCACAGCCCGGGCACCTGGTTAGATTTCTCTCCATAGATGTCGCTAGTGGTAGCGCCTGAAGGTAGGCTGTACCCACTGAACTCTATGCTGTACCGCACAGCCCGGGCGCCTGGTTAGATTTCTCTCCATAGATGTCGCTAGTGGTAGCACCTGAAGGTAGGCTGTACCGCACAGCCCGAGCGCCTGGTTAAATTTGTATCTGTAGATGTCGCTGGCTGGTAGCAGTGCCTGAAGGTAGGCTGTACCGCACAGCCCGAGCGCCTGGTTAAATTTGTATCTGTAGTCTGTAGATGTCGCTGGCTGGTAGCAGTGCCTGAAGGTAGGCTGTACCGCACGGCCCGAGCGCCTGGTTAGATTTCTATCCATAGATGTCGCTAGTAGTAGCGCCTGAAGTTAGCCTGTACCGCACAGCCCGAGCGCCTGGTTAGATTTCTATCCATAGATGTCGCTAGTAGTAGCGCCTGAAGGTAGCCTGTACCGCACGGCCCGAGCGCCTGGTTAGATTTCTATCCATAGATGTCGCTAGTAGTAGCGCCTGAAGGTAGCCTGTACCGCACGGCCCGAGCGCCTGGTTGGGGTTCTCTCTCCATAGATGTCGCTAGTAGTGGCGCCTGAAGGTAGGCTGTACCGCACGGCTCGAGCGACGGGCCCGCGTTAGAGAGAATAACGATGATTGCAGAAGAAAGGCAAACAAAGCTAGGAGTTCCAGGTGTGCTATTCTCACAGGCACCCTCCCTTCCCCTCCGCTCCTCCCCTCCGCCCGTCTCACCGGTGCCGAAGTAGGCCTGTCGCGAGCCGTCCCCCTACCCCTCCGTTCCATTCCCCCTCGCCCCTCCCTTCCCCTCCGCTCCTCCGCTCCGCCCGTCTCACCGGTGCCGAAGTAGGCATGTCGCGAGCCGTCCTCGAGCAGCTGGTTGCGCGTGTTCCAGTGGGCTGAGCAGTAGGCGCCGAACACCTCGCCCTCGGTGGTGCGCAGCAGCAGCACGGTCGGCTCGAACGTGCCGACGCGCTGGTAGAACGTCTTCAGGGAGAAGCCGTGCTCGCTGGAGGTGTAGAGCAGCAGCGGCGAACAGAGCGCGAACCGGGCCGGCACGCTCTCCCAGAGTCGCAGCAGCTGCGGGGGGAGGGGGAGGGGTTAGAAAGAGGGGTTAGAGTGAGGGGCGAGGGAGGGGTTAGACAGGTCGTTGGAAGAGTGAAGGGTTGTGATACGATGATAGCCGCCGTTGCAATGAAAGGGTTATTGACTTTGAGTCCCCGCGGCCAACGTCACAGTAGTTATTGGGAAAAATAATACCCGAGTGTATGTTACATTGCTTGAAGTATAATATAACAGGTTTACTAGAATATGTGATGAGAGTCCGATAGTTTCGATTCAAAGAACTTTATGAAGCCTCAAGCCAGTGTGATTTTGGCTTTTTACGGAACTCAGAACGCTGCGTCAAAGTCCCTTTTGTTTGCTAACCTTTACCTTTGTTAAGTAGTAATGTATGTATGTGACTGAACTTTGGATAAAAAACACGGAACCCAACTGCCGGGACATGGGCTGGGCAAAATAAAAATACTGACAGCTCAACTACGTACAGCAGAGGAGCCTTGTTTGTAAAACTGAGGATGTGGTCATGCTTACAAAGAGATACAGTCCATGTCGATCAGAGCAAACAAGGAGAGCACAAAGACGCGGCAGAAATTAAATGGCATGCAAGCATGACACCGTTACAAACACAAAGGCCCGTTGGCATGCTCAGTAGCTCAGCTCTGAGTTCTAACCACTGAACCAGCATCAGTGAAAACAGATTTACTGTGTCAAAAGCAGCCGGAGTCTCATCTGTCGATGTTACATGACGTGCCGGCCAACTGCAAATTAACTCACTTCTGCGAGACTCAGCATTTCTGAGTTGGGATCCTTCAGGTGTGGAGCAAACATTGGCTGCTTGCACGGAAGTACAGAATACCACTTAGCCCTCTCATAATTTGTCATGTCATTGGCTCCTTGTCGGAATGGCATTATGAGGTACACATATAATTATGACCCTGAGGCCTCAGTTACAAAATGCTAAACTGGCAGATCATGCAGCGCCTATATGATATTTTTGGGGTATGAGCTATTATATCGCTTGGAGTCACAAGATGAGGAAAGATTAGAAGCTTTTTAGTTGTGAGCGCACTACATTAGTCAGGTAAGTCGTCAAACATCAGACAAGAGAGGACCGATGACAAAATTAGAGAAGTCTCCTTCACCAGGCTACCCTGCTGCTGTGAGCGGGCGCCACTGACCTCCTTCACGCCGATGGTGTTGGAGCTGCGCCCCAGGAGCCGCTGGGAGTCTAGACTCGGGAGGTTCTGCTGGGCCAGCTCGGAGCCGCAGCCCGCCTCATCCGCCGGTCTGCCGGTGCACACAGACACACAAACACGGTCACGGAGTGGCATTGAGACATGCTGTCACGCTTTCAATCCAGTGCGGCAACTAAAAAAAATAGCGAAAGCGTCTTGCTTATAATTCATGAGTCATATTTCTGTCGAAGTCACTAATGACACAGTCGTAGTAAGGGCACTCAGTCCTACCACCTCCCAGACCAGTGTGGTGTATTCACGCAGTATCAGACCAGCCAGCCACAGCTCATTGACCCCGTCGACTCACGTCGGCTCTGGGAAGGTGATGCGGCCGCCGTCGGCGCGGATCTGCTCCCTCGCCTTCACGTAGGACGAGTTGAGCGTACCGCGACTGAACGCGCGGATCGTGAACATGGTCTTCAGCAGCTTCCGCGGCGTCACCTGCCACAGCAGTATAAACGCTCGGTTAGATATGGAGGCTGAGCAGTATAAACACTCGGTTAGAGATGGAGGCTGTGATGTAGGGGGCGGTGTGCTTTGTGATATTTGCGATGTTAGAGCATGCATGCTTGCCGTCTGACGGCTTAGTCAACTGAAAATGATAGAAACAAGGTATCTGGGCTTGACCTAGCATTTCGTTTTTCTAAAGTTCTAATATCATGGCCGATAGGGAGGAAACCCATGGCAGAGCAGCACGTTATATGTTCTTTTGCAGTGGTATGAAGCTCGCGTTCTCCCACTCTCCCACCCTGTTCTCCCGCTGACTGACCGGTATTTCCTGGCAAAAGATCTTCATCACGTCCTGTACGGACTGCTCCTCGAGCAGCGTGGCCCAGTGGCTGGCCTTGTCTCGGCACGGCTGGTGGGCCGTCTGTTTGTGAAGCAGCACTATCAGCGCCATGGCGGCGCGGTACAGCACCTGACGAACAGGGAGAGGTCAGTGTTAGGTGGTGACACGGCTGCAGTGGGCCGTCTGTTTGTGAAGCAGCACTATCAGCGCCATGGCGGCTCGGTACAGCACCTGACGGGACGGAAGGGGATGCGTCGGTGTTTGACGGTGGGGTCCGGGGACGAGAACGGAGAGAGACGGCCAATAGGAGCAATAGGCGTGAGTTTGTGGACAAATAAAGATGGATCATAGCTGTAAGTGAGGGTCACCCGCTCAGAGTGTAGCTGTCATTTCTGTATTTTCCTAGCACCATGGAATGGTTAAACACATATCGCCTTGATAATGAAAACGCGTGAATATTCACGCATTAGAAAATGTCACGTTAATTGGGCTATATGTCAAGGCACGTCCATCCACCTGCCTATCTCACAGCTGTACGAAGGCGGCGTACCTTTTCCACCTCCATGAGGTAGCAGTCGAACATACGAACCTTTCCCCCTCCATGAGGTAGCAGTGAAACAAGCGTAACTTGTCCCCCTCATTGAGATAGCAGTCGAAGAGGCGTACCTTTTCGCCCTCCATGAGGTAGCAGTCGAACAGGCAGGCATTACGTTACGTACCTTTTCTCCCTCCATGAGGTAGCAGTCGAACAGACGTACCTTTTCGCCCTCCATGAGGTAGCAGTCGAACAGACGTACCTTTTCGCCTTCCATGAGGTAGCAGTCGAACAGACGTACCTTTTCGCCCTCCATGAGGTAGCAGTCGAAGAGGCGCACCACGTGCGAGAAGGGCAGGTAGCAGAAGATCCAGGTCATCCAGTCTGCCAGCAGTCGGCGCACCGCCTCGCTGCTGCCGGCGTACCGCTGCAGGAAGCGCATGCTGCCCCGCTGCAGCGGCGAGCGGTGGAGGCTCGGTCAGTGGCAGAGGAGAGGGCGGGCAGCTATCTGCACACCGAGAGTTAAAACGGCTGCACAGGAAGGTCCGACAGCTACATACGACGAGAGGTCGAGCTGACTGGCAGTGGTCGAACAGAGATAATGTAGCGCGAAAAGGCGGACAGAATAGACGAATATTTTGAAGAAAATGCAGGCATCGAAGATTGAGCTCGATACTGTTGGATGACAACTTAGCGTCTGCTTATGTGAACTTACCGCATGTTTTCTGCAGAGTTTGACGAGCGTTCTCCAGGAGATTTCACACTGTCGTTTGGTCTGGACCAGGTAGCCGAGCTTGGAGTTTTTCAGCATCATACAGAGACAGTTATAGGCGTCCTCCTCTGTGGATTAGGGCGATAACTCACTTTGTGTTTTGACAATGTGGAAAGGTGATTTACGTTTAGTACCAGTATTTGTTATTATTCATAATTGTCTAAACGGACACAGACACTGCATCGAGTTTTAGCCAGCTTACTTAACCACTATTACGTAAGCTGAAGGCAAACAGGATAAACTAAATCGTACTCACCCTCTCTCCCAAAGTACGCGAGCCTCCACCCCTGACCGACGCGAGCCTCCACCCCCTGACCGGCGCGCTCACCGTCCATGAAGCGGAGCAGCAGGCAGCAGACGGAGAAGAGCGGCGGGCTGTAGGTGACGGCCGGGTTGTTGTAGGCCAGCACGGCCAGAATCCGCTCGGCCGTCCACACGCCGGCCGCGTCCAGACCAAAGTCGTTCGAGTAAAAGGCCAGCTTCAGAGGCGGCCGTGGCAGCTGCGGCCCGGTGGCGGGACCTGTAGTGAAGAGAGGAGAGCGAGTTAGAGGAGGGGAGCGAGGGAGAGAGAGAGAGAGAGAGAGAGAGAGAGAGAGAGAGAGAGAGAGAAGTGAGGCTAATGGTTGTAATGTTCGGCCTCATAAAATCAGGATGTTGGCATCCGTGCAGACAGACAGTGCATGAACAACTGCTAGTTCTCGACTTCAGGAACATAAAACGAAGGTGATCCGGCATCGTGATTTGTGTAGACCTGCGGACCGCAGCCAATAGCCATGGTATCTGAGTACCATCCACGTACCATACTGTCCCTCCATCACGTGCTGCACTGTACCCCCCCCCCCCCCCACGTACCGTAGTGTCCTTACTCCCCCGCCCCCCACGTACCGTAGTGCCCCTCCATCTGTTCGACCGTGTCGCGGTACTCGTCGCCATTCTCCAGCTCAGCGCCGTGGTGGCGACACACGGCCAGCCAGAGCTGCCGGCGAGCCGCCGCGTCCAGCACGGTGAGCCCCGTCCGCAGCTGGCGCTTCGTCTGCCGGGGAGCGCGGCCGTCAGAGGGAGGTCATGACATGGGTCAGCAGTGACGGTAACATCAGCTGGCAAGGTTAACTGCGCAGTTGAACCTAAAATGACCTCGAACTACACTATTGCACATTATCAGGCATGTGATGGAAAGCCTGATCATGCATAAATTCAAGTCAACGAATTGATTTCGTGCCGAACTGGTCAATGTGTATGGCAAACAATAGCTGTTCCTCGTGCATCATGACCAACAGCTTTCTCTCATGAATGTGTAGATGCTGTGGACCATGCTCGTACATAATCCAGGCACTGCAGCATCGGACGAACCCGTGTTTATCTGCGGTGCATTCCGGTTCCTGCCCATGCATTGCGGTACAGCATACCTTTCAGACGTGTGTTGCGGGATAGCATACCTCTCAAGTGTGTGTTGCGGGACAGCATACCTTTCAGGTGTGTGTTGCGGGACAGCATACCCCTCAGACGTGTGTTGCGGGATAGCATACCTCTCAAACGTGTGTTGTGGGACGGCATACCCTTCAAGTGTGTAGTGCGGGACAGCATACCCCTCAGGTGTGTGTTGCGGGACAGCATACCCTTCAGGTGTGCGTTGCGGGACAGCATACCCTTCAGGTGTGAGTCGCCGGACAGCATGCCCCTCAGACGTGTGTTGCGGGATAGCATATCTCTCAGACGTGTGTTGTGGGACGGCAAACCCTCAGGTGTGTTGGGAGTCTGGGGTAGCATACATCCCAGGTGTGCTTTGTAGTACGGCGAAGCCGATTGGCTGGTTTTGCCTAACCTGTTGATTTATGTTTTCGTGCAGCGGGCGACTGGGCGCGCCCCCGAGCCCCGGCGAGTCGACCCCACTCTCCGCTTCCACCCCATCTGTGGGTGAGCTGAGCTTCGGGGTCGCCTCGCCGAGGGCAGAGCCGTCTGGCGGCGAGGAGCTGAGGCTCGAGTTCTGTCCATTTGCGCGGTATGCAGCGCCAGCCGTCTCCTCCGGAGCGCCAGGTGTGCATGGTCCGTGGCCACCTGTGGACGAAAAGAGACTCGTGAGGTGTCTGAGAAAGGAGATCCCCACTGGATTACCACTGAGCGAAGGGTGGACAAGCGGCTTGAATTGGTTTGGCTTGTAGGCAGTAGGCACACTGAACGCTTGTAGGCACAGTAAAAGGCCATGGAGGGGTAGGTATGCAGAGAGAAGGAATTATGACACTGCTGCCTGTTTTTTATTTGTTGACCGATCCAGTAAATCAAAGAACCTGCTCGGACTAGTGTTGTCAAGGTAAGCGAATGAATACAAATCGGCTGCTGTGCATATTAAACCGAGCACCGAGCGCTGCTGAGACAAAGGCCGCTAAACTGACGAGGACGTGATGGTGAGTGATGCTTCGTGATGAAAACAAGCCAATCTTGCGATATGCTCACAGTCACGACATATAAACGGTGGCACACAAACTTACAACAATATCAGCACTGGCCTATTGATAAATGATAGTTGTTTTGACTTCGTGCAGTAAAATTATGCGATAGTCAATGCAAATGGCTTCAATACCACTCACTGCCAAACATTGAACTAAAATAACATGATACCAACAACAACTGCAAAGCAAAGGTACATTCAAAGCCAGACTATGCATAGCTCCGCGAAATTGATCGCGACATGCCAGCTCGGGCGACTCGCCTCCGAAGCAGGGCCCGGTTATTCCGTGGCTCAGAAGAGTGCCCATCTGGGCATGGAGAAAAAAGCTGTTACGTGCCAGCTAGTCTCAGACTCCGTTATACCTATATGTTATAGTCTATGCTGTAACGTCTGTCTTTACGAGTCGAGATACGTGTCAGAGACTGCGTTTACATTAAATTTATGATAGAATAGTGCCAACTGAAAACATAATATGGTCGAGTTTAATTCATAACAGGTAACAAACGGATTGCCCATTGTCTTTTCATTCCAAAACCTCCAGTAATGTGATGTTTAATTTTAGCTTCTTAGCATCCATGGCCTTCACAAAACCGTATGCCAGTGGAAGTGGCTAAGTGACTTCCTGTGCATAGCCAAATGAGCACAGGATTGAGTGGACAGTAGACACCGGTGGCGGATCTGGCATTAATCCGTGAACAGGACACACAATGCCAAAAGGACGGGTTCGCAGTTCATGAGACCGAAAATAAGCCCGTACAAACGCTGTCTAATGTTCATGGGGTAGCCAGGAGAGCGGGACTGTGCTGATAAAACTCGTCGAACGGAAACGTTCGACTAAATAGACGGTACAAAGTTCAAACAAAACAGAGGCAGCACAGGAGCTTTTTAGACGTCAACAAATAATTCCCCGCACAAAAAGGCACTCAACTAGTATGTGCTTCTTATTTGCATTGCATATGCATAGGCCTAATAGTAGAAAATCTGGGAGCACCCAATGACGGCCCTGTCGACAATCATTGACGACACTGGAGACACCGCGGCGCACACAGACACTCAGAGTCCCTTAGGCACTCAGTTGATGCCGAGAAGGCCGTGTTGGACCGGACACTCCGTGGGCAGTCGGTCGCGGCTCGGCGGGCTTCGTATCACGCCGTCGCCGGCCACTGTCTCAGCACAAACACCTCAACGGGCCGCGCGCAGCACCGCGTCCCAGAGCCGTGAGAACGGCAGCGGCTGTCCACCACCGACAGCAGTCCTGCGCAGGGTGCACACGGAGACTGCAGCGGATCACCGCCCACCGCCCACCGCCCGTCGCCCGGCGCCCGGCGCGGCGGAGCCAATATTGACCTGCAGAGTGGCGGTATCCTGTCGCTGACACCGACCGGCGACCGGCCCGAGACGGGTCGATAGTGCCCCACTGGCTGACCCCGCCCAGCCGGCAGGCAGGGCTGTGTAGTGTGTATGTGCACTGCACAGCTGACCGCGGATCCGTAACGAGACAGCCAAACCTCAGCGAAAGAAGAGCACCATGCTAAGTGGAAACTGTTCCCGTGATCCGAGATTAATGGCAGGGAAAAGGCTGCTCGATATCATTGACACCATCGATTCAAGCTAAAACATAGGCGCCTCATCCTGGGCACACCCAAATACCATTTGATGAGAGCCACTGCCAGTTGTCACCGAGTCCTGACGGGGTCGGAGAGATAGGCGCGCATTGACTTGGAGATCGTCCTGCAATCTGATGGAGCTCATGCCAGACACCTTGCAAGGCCACTCCACACCGTATATCGTGGTGACGAGCGCTGTTTGGACATGGGCCGCTCGTAGAATATGTTTTCCATAGCATTACGAGATCGGGTCCCATCAATGCCGGGTGCCCGAATACGAGCCTACGACAGCAGCAGTCGTGACGGAATCGAAAATCAGATCTACTATGGGTGTCGGGGTACACAAGGTGAATGTAGAGCTGACGTAAGGCAGATGCAATAAGTTGTTCTGGCTATACATCGGCATATCTATTGAATTTTGTCTTCTGAGAGCCCTTACCTACTTATTTGAAAAGTAGTTATACCACGATCCAAACATATATTTAATTTTCTTATCTATACATTCCTATATACCTATATCCGATTTAGCAAATTGAACGGCCTCATTCCCTCTATTCCGTGCCGCATTGTGCGGTTTCGGTCTGACTCGTCTCTCGCACCTCCCGCACCGTAAGCTGCTGTTGCAGCGCTGCACACCCGCACAGTCGGCGGATCGCCCCCGTCACCTGCGCGCACCGCGCTGGCCCCCTGGAGCGGCTGCAGTTGAGGTAGGTCATTGACGGCCGGTGACCCCGCCACCCGTGCACCGCAGCGTGCGGCGTGCACACACCTCCCGCGCCCGCCCGCCCTCCCGCGCCTGTCCGGCTGGGTCCTTCCCTCCGTCCCTGGATAAATGACCAGCCGCTTTGCATTCGTATTTCGTATACCACGCGGCCCCAGGGGTTACTAAACACAGTGAAACTGGCGGGCGGCACACGTGCCGGCTGATGGGATAAAAAAAGACACACGTACACTCTCTCTCTTTCTCTCTCTCTCTCTCTCTCTCTCTCTCTCTCTCTCTCTCTCTCTCTCTCTCTCTCTCTCTCTCTCTCTCTCTCTCTCTCTCTCTCTCTCTCTCTCTCTCTCCTCTCTCTCTCTCTCTCTCTCTCTCTCTCTCTCTCTCTCTCTCTCTCTCTCTCTCTCTCTCTCTCTCTCTCTCTCTCTCTCTCTCTCTCTCTCTCTCTCTCTCTCTCTCTCTCTCTCTCTCTCTCTCTCTCTCTCTCTCTCTCTCTCTCTCTCTCTCTCTCTCTCTCTCTCTCTCTCTCTCTCTCTCTCTCTCTCTCCTCTCTCTCTCTCTCTCTCTCTCTCTCTCTCTCTCTCTCTCTCTCTCTCTCTCTCTCTCTCTCTCTCTCTCTCTCTCTCTCTCTCTCTCTCTCTCTCTCTCTCTCTCTCTCTCTCTCTCTCTCTCTCTCTCTCTCTCTCTCTCTCTCTCTCTCTCTCTCTCTCTCTCTCTCTCTCTCTCTCTCTCTCTCTCTCTCTCTCTCTCTCTCTCTCTCTCTCTCTCTCTCTCTCTCTCTCTCTCTCTCTCTCTCTCTCTCTCTCTCTCTCTCTCTCTCTCTCTCTCTCTCTCTCTCTCTCTCTCTCTCTCTCTCTCTCTCTCTCTCTCTCTCTCTCTCTCTCTCTCTCTCTCTCTCTCTCTCTCTCTCTCTCTCTCTCTCTCTCTCTCTTGCTTCTCCTCGCCTCTTATCTCTCACTCTCATATTATCGCACGCATCGTTTCACTGAGATGTAGAAGGCCTCCTCCCATTTTCCCCGAATCATAGTGTGGAGCGTGAAGGGGTATAGGTAACCGATTCTGCCTGAAGGCCGGGGCTCGGCCGTGGGCGTGGTCCGCACACTCTCCAGGCGGCCTGAGCAGCTTCGGGAGGCCCCGTTTGTGTTATATAACCGGTCAGGGGCCACGTCAGGGAGGACCCAGACGCAGGGAGAGGTGAGAGGTGATCCGTCCGTCCGCCCGTCCGTCCCTCCGTCCGTCCGTCCTCACCGACTGATGGTGGCGCGGCGCCCGCCGACTGGGACCCGCAGTGGTCGGGGACAGCGCGGCGACATGGGCCGACTGCGGCGGCGGAGCTGATCGCGCAATGAGCGCCAAGTTCAATTTGAGTGCAATTGTTTAACTAATACTAACCAAACCACAGCACAAGTATCATTCAAGTAATTGGCTTTGCTTTGCATCAAGTTTAAAGCTCATATTAATCCAGCGAAATTATTAGATCCACTAGCCAGGCGACACAGTTCGGTAACCGCACGGAGCTGTCGCCGCTGTTAGCTGTCGAGCTGCAGCGCTGCGGCGGCGGGCGCTGTGCAGCTCGCCCGTCCTTCGCCTGGTCTCAGCGGCCGCCACTGGGTGTCAGACGGTCCGTTACTGTCCGGAGGATACCGTAGAGCCGCTCTAACCCTCCCCGTCCACACTCAGCCGATCTCATCCCGCACGGCTGACTCACGGCTTTAGTCAGTGCAGGCTGGTGACACCCGATTAAACGCCAAAAGGTGCAGATTTACCGTCCAAGTCGGTACACGCGTAGGCTATGGTAATGAAGAGAAGCAGAGATCATACATAGTCATTAGTCAGCCTCTGCCTGTCTGTCTGTGACTGCCTATATGTCTGTCTGTCCGATCGTTTACCTCCTTGCACGTTCCGACTCCACTGGTCGCCACAGATGACGTCATCTCGTCGCAGGTCACGTGACTGGTCCTCCATTTCTCACGTCTCACGCACAACCCCGCCGCCCGTGCGCGCGTGCGTATCCGGCGCATGACGTCATCACATCGGTATGTGACGGAGGGCGGCCCGTAACGAGGTGTCCGTCACGGCCGCCACCGCGTGGGAGAATCTCAGTGATGTACCCGTGCTGCTACATGTAAGCGCGCAAACGGTGCCTTTTACTTCAGCGACGTCCAATTCGGCTCTCTTGATTCATACATGCACCAGAGGAGGTAATGTTCTTTTGTTGTCTCAAATACTTAGTTATAGTCATGCCAAAAAAAAACTTCCGTAGTCACTCAACAATCTGTCTTCGCTTAGGTATCAACACTCGGCTGAAAGCATATTTATTTTTCATTGATGTTAGCACGTTGTGGAGATGATGCAAATGGAAGACATGGCTAAGCCGAATGCGGTGGGGCGATCTTAGTGGGATATAAAATGGCGGGAGCTTAGTCTTGCAATAAAGCCTTTTGGGATGGCTCACTGTGTTCGGGTCCAGTGAGGCGCCCGCCGTACCGTATACCCTGAGCTATTTGCTTTTCGGCGTGACACGTTTCTAATACGAAATCAGCAAATAGAGGGACCATGTTGGACGTCTGTCGTGGACCCGCCCATGCAGGACGAGACCGGACGGCTGAACCCCGGGATGGGCCGGGCCTGCCAGCGGACAGCAGCCGGCAGGAAGGCGTTGGGGCCAGTGGGTCCCGCCGTGTAGAGCGCCACCCTTCACGTGGTGAAACCAACCGATGTCTGCCCCGGCACACTCTGAGCATCGGTCATTCATACATCAGTGGAAAGCCAGCTGACAACACGTACGACCGGGCTTACCTTCTAGCGGTGCGTGAGAGGGTGAGGGGTGGTGCGAATAGCAAAATCGCCCAGACCATCCGAAGCAGTCTCCCAGCGCGCCTGACACATTTGGTCCGCCGCTCACATCAGCCAATCCGTGCCATTTGTGGATCTAACCGGCGGCCCCGTCCCATCGCCATTAGAGATGCAGGATACCAACAGCGAACGATCACGGTCCCAGCCCGACTCAGCATCGCGGAGACTCGCAGGGTACTGGGATCAGGGAAACAGCTAGCACCTGCCATCTTCCTGACCAACCCCACGTCACTCAACAATAAATTGGACGAGCTATACGCGAACATACTGGAGTATGCCCCTGACGTTGTCTGCATCTCGGAAGTCTGGCAGGTCGATCAGGACAAGGCAAATTTCCCCGGCTTCAGCTTCTTTCAGCGACCCAGACTGCATCGTCGGGGAGGTGGCGTCGGCTGCTACGTCAGACAGTCTATTCCAGTGAAGCTACTGAATAGCCTCCAACCCTCTGAGGAAGACGTTGAAGTGATATGGCTTCAATTACGGCCTAAACACCTTCCGGCAGGTTCATCTAATATCTGCATCGCCACAGTCTACTTCCCACCAGGCTCGTGTGCAGAGCTGCGAGTGAAATACGAGGAGCACCTTCAGTTCGCCATTGATGAGCTCCGTACCCTGTATGACTGCCCTCGATTTATCATCTGCGGTGATTTCAACAGCTTTCCAGTTGAGTCCCTCTGCCGGCTCAATGGTTTGCATCAAATTGTAACAGCCCCCACGCACCAGGCCCATGTCGTCCCCTATCTCCCTGTGTGTCCAGGTGCACAGATGACGTCACACGAAGGGGCGGAGTCGGGGGTGGAGCCTGGCGCAACGGCCGCCATATTTGAATTTGTTTTATTAGAATGTAATCTACATTTTGGGTTTCAGTCAATTGTTATCGATAGTTTTATGAACGGTTAGCTGTAATATAAGTGATTTATCAAGAAAAAACACATAATCTGCTTGCAATTTCGATTTAAGTACGACCCGCGCCTAGATTCGAACGCACGATCTTTGGATTACGGCGCAAGCATCCTAACCACTACACTACCGCGGCGGCGCGGCGGCCGGCGGAAGGGAGGCTGCCGAGGCATGGGGGCTTTTTTACGCATTTTCGGAAAAACTAATGGGTTTAGTGAAAAACGCTTCCTAGATAATTCGAAGAAAAATGTCTCGGCTTTCCGATGATGCACTTAGTTTTGTGCTAGCTTTAGCAGAGTTTGCTCTACAGAGCTTTAAAAATCGCCCATTTGCATAGGACTTAAACGGGACTTTAAGACTTGCCCCCAGATGACGTCACGAGCTGACGTCACGATCAGGTAGAATCGCCGGACGACCCTACCTGGTATATAGGGCCTTGCCACGCACGGGGACTCAGTTCTGGACCTCATCCTGACCGATCTGGGTGACTATTATCACGAGCCTGTGATGCTGTCGCCCCTCGGGCGCTCCAAGCACGTCATCGTGCACGCTCGACCGCGCACCATCCAGCCGACACCGAGGGAACGAACGACCGTGCGAATGCTGCCGGACTCGGGAGTTAGAGCATTCGGCAGGTGGATCACAGCACATGACTGGACCCCCGTATATGAGGCGTCTTCCCCCGATGAACAGGTGGCGGTGCTGCAGTCAACGCTCTCCACTGCTCTAGACCGGTTTCTGCCTACCAAGACATTGCCAGTGCGACATCGAGGGAAGCCTCACATCACCGCCACCGTCCGACACGCCATTGCCCAGAAGCACAGAGTTTTCCGACTCGAGGGCATGTCCGACCGGTGGCGACATCTACGAAATAAGGCCACTCATCTGTGCCGCAAAGCCAAGGCGGAATTCTACGACAGGAAAATACGAGGAATGAGGACAGCAAAGCCGGCTACTTGGTACCGTCAAATCAAGAGTCTGACCGGCCGAGTAAAGAACGAACAGCTAAACTTCGCTGAGTATGAGACTGGTGGGGCGCTGGCGGAAGCGGTCAACCAGCACTTCGCATCTATCTCATCCCAGCTGCCGGCACTCAACCTGGAGGAATTCCCTGCCTACCTACCGGCGGACGCACCCCCACCGGTCATCCGACGAGCTGACGTCCAGAGGGAACTGAGCAGCATCCGCTCCAACATCTCCACCACACCGAATGAGCTACCAGCACGGCTGGTCAAGGAGTTTGCCTTCGAATTATCGCAGCCACTCACTCACATCTTCAACTCCTCGCTATCCTCCGGAAAATTTCCGTCTGCTTGGAAGCTATCCTTCATCACCCCCATTCCCAAGGTCAACCCTCCAACCTCTTTCAACGATCTTAGACCCATTTCACTCACCCCGCTCTTCTCCAAAATCTTTGAAGGATTTTTGACAACCTGGATCATGGCTGACATTACCCCATCACTTGACCCACACCAGTTCGGAAACAGGCCAGGCTACTCTACAGTACATTACCTGATCTCGCTATATGACTTCCTGGCTAAGAACACAGACAGCTCTTCAAACGCTGCGGCCATCCTGGCGATCGATTTTTCCAAGGCCTTCGACCTGGTTAGCCATGATGTCGTGCTCAGGAAACTACTGGACCAGCAAGTTCGTCCCTCCATCGTGCCTACAGTAGCCAGCTTCCTCAACGAGCGGAAACAGGTCGTTCGACTTGGTGGCTCGAATCCTGTCTCATCAGAGCTCACTTCCACGTGTGGAACGCCCCAAGGGACAAAAATCGCCCCGATTGCATTTTTGGCTCATATAAATGACTGCGCAGTTACCGAAGATCATCGATGGAAGTATGTGGACGACCTCAGTATCGGCATCCTGTCTCCTGCAAGAGATGCAAACATTGTCCTTCAGAAAGCCCAGACGGCCGCATCCACTCTGGAAACATGGTCAGAGAACAATCTCATGAAGATCAACGGAAAAAAGTGTCATATACTCATCTGCAACTTCTCTCACAACACGGATATGGACGGCGCAGTAATCATTAACAACGAGCCAGTACCTGTCGTCTCTACCATGAAACTTCTCGGAGTCCATATTACTTCTGACTTAAAGTGGACGGCAAATACAAATCATATCACAAAAAACGCCTCTCGCAGGCTGTTCATGCTCACAGTCCTCCGTCAGTTCCATGCAGATCTGAGCGATATCCGCGCCGTCTACATCAGCTTCATTCGTCCATGTCTGGAATACTGCTCTCAACTGTGGCACACGGGACTGACACAGCAACAAGCACAAGCAATCGAGCAAGTTCAGAAAAGAGCTTGCAAAAGCATGATAGGATACGAAAACTACACCGACTACGCCTCTGCCTGCCAGCTCCTCAACCTCGAGACTCTGAGCGAGCGTCGCGATGCTGTCCTCTGCAAGCTGGCGGCCGACATCCTCGCCAACCCCGCCCACCCACTGTACCCGGGCGAGCAGCTGGCAAATGTGAGGCGCCCTCTGCGCCGGCAGCGAAAGTTTGTCGTACCGCGGGCCAAAACTGAGCGGTATAAAAAGTCCACTGTGCCTGTACTCATAGATCTAATGAACAGGATGTGATCCCCACGTAGATATGTTCGGAGCTCTTTTGAAATGCACTGTGTTTTTAATTGTTGTGATGCTTTTCACTTCTTCATGTGGTGCCACCATTGCACAGCTCATGTACGGCCTTTTTACCAGTCGTTGACTGTCACGTGGTCAAATAAACCTTTATGTATGTATGTATGTATGTAAATAGAGGGACCATGTTGGACGTCTGTCGTACATATGTGTCTAGCTAACAATTCAAAACCTGCTCGCTCGACTGGGGATATCCACTCCAGGAAAAATAACGGGGCTTGACACTAGTGCGAAGTACAGTACCTAATTCCTGACACGTTTTATAGCCATCACCCACACACCTGTGTGGAACTATGAAGTGCAATCGCAAATAGCATATGTTTTCAGGTATGTATATGTGATTATACCCACCAAGATAATGTCAATGCGTCTAGACTTAATGCTTGTAACACAAAATGTCTGTCACAAATTGCACATCCGAAGTCCAGGAAAAGTGTTGACTGGGTAAGAGTTCTTAATCACCCCTTGCTGCAAAGTAAGTAAAATAAATAAAGGACTGCTTTTGTTAAGACGTAACTGAACAACAAAAGGATGAAAGTTTGCATTAGGTTAGAATATCAATTAGGCACGTTATTTACCCGTCTCCGCGCCTACCCTGCGCCGCGTTGGCTGTGAGTGCCCGGGGTTCGGCAGAGGGTCGCGTCCAGCGGGGTACCCGGGGACCGGCAGAGTGCCGTATACTCCCCGGCTCCGGCGCGCTCACCTGAGGTGCCGACGCTGTCCGCCTTGTGGCGCTGCCGCGGCGGTGACGGTGTCGTCGGCGGCGCCGGCCCCGAGTGCGTCCCGAACACGGCCCGGTCCGAGTGGATCACATTCACTAGGGTGATGAGCGAGAACCGTCGGCCGGGTGGTGGGGCCGGCGCGCGTCGCTGCTGCCCGCCGGCGGCGCGGCACGCGCGCCGCTCGGCCGGCCAGCCGGAGCCGCCGCCGGCCGGCAGTGGCGCGCCGCCCACCTGGAGAGCCACCGACATACCGAGTGGTGACCTGACCTGGAACGGCGCCGGCAGCACGTCAGACACTCAGGGGGACTAGAGGGTATACAGAGAGGTAGAGGGTCAGAGGACAGAAGGTACACATACCAATCAGAGGTCAGGGACCAAAGGTCAGAGGTCAGATGTAATACTAAAATGGCAGAGGCCATAGAGGTACAAATCGGATACGGTCCGTATCACTGAAACTGACGTGTTGCCACCACTTTTGGTCGCCACTGGTACTGAGAACATCGCATCAGCACACGCTTGATGCACCGTACGACGTACACGTTCTACTACGATGCACCCCTAATCAGTCCCCGCCTCGTCCCTAAAACATGAGGCGGCCAACACCATGCTATTCGGGGCAGAACAAAGGCATCCATTCTCTGATCTCAGTCGATCAGACCCACACCTAAAATACGTCCGGGGGCCTCGAGTGCCGATATGCAGAGACAGCGAGGCAAGGACTCGAACACTCCAGAGTCGCTTCAAATGCATCGCGGAACGCTTACACTGCCTGTTGATCTGACTATAGAATCAGACAGCCTGTCGTAGCGTTTGCATCATTCGTTCGAATGCCATTATGTAACGCTGGAATGGAGACGGAGAGTTTGTCTTCTGTCTCATTAAAATATGTCTCCAACGACCGTTCTGTATCTGCTAAAAAACAAACAGATCATACACCTACCGAATACATTTTTTTTTTCTGTGAGCCGTCAAACTTTTTGTGGGCATCTGTTCGTTTTGAACTGTGTACCTGGAATACCTCCATCACATCTTTTGCGGCCTGAAACCACGTACCTAGACCGCAAACCACAGGTGTTACTGGGAATGCACAGGAACTTCCAATAACACTGGTGACCGCACTCAGCCTTGAGGCAGCCGCCGAGCCTCGATCGGTATGTCGCATCAGCCCACACTCTCCTTCCATACTTTCTCCGTGTCTGAAGCGATCGACTCAGCCCACCATTATGATATATGTGTGAGTATGGTACACTGTCAGTACTTCAGCTTGCTCTATGAGTCTATATATCCTCATTCTCTACCCTCAGGTTGCGACTCATGTCCCCCGGTCTCACTGGACTGTAGGTATACTGACTACTCGGGTGGCCTCTTACCGGCAACACATACCATCTGACACCTGATCCGTACCATTTGACCTATTGATCAATGGCCCTGTATAAATGTTGGCCTGTGAAACAAGTAATCTTACAGACTGTAAGTGCAAAAATCGCCTAAGAATAAAAATGTTTAAAAACTGATTACCGGGAACAAAATAAAACATTGAAGTGTTATGCTTTTTTTCCCTTACGATCGAAAAGTGCCGAGCGCAGATAAGCAATACCTAACAACTTTAATTGTTAGCGCAACGGCTTCATTATTTATATTTGGCAATTAGTTGATTACCTTCGAATTATCACCGGAATTCGAAGGCTGCTTGCTGTCTTTGTCTACGCTTAGTGACAACAGACGCCTGACGCATAAAGCAGCTCCACCTGGTTAAAGGGACCCTCCCACCTTCAAAAAAGTTAATGAATTGGCACGAAAGTGATGTCGCTCGGTTCAGAAAGAGCGAAAACGAATATCTACCAAATTTCATCGAAAAATATTCACCGGTTTTCAAGATATTAGACTTTTACTTTTGTTTACTTTTTGGGATCTCCGCTGTTCCTAGCGACTTTATTTGAAAGTGCGGCATTTGTTGCGCGCAAAGCATCATATACCACCGCGTGCTACCAAACGTTTTAGTAAAAGATTTAAAAATCGTTAGATCTCCGCTGACGTCACAAATTCTAAGGGGGCATACCAATGCACTAGCCCCTTAGAATCCGAAAACTGCAAGTTTGAAATTCCATATCTCCGAATTAAAGCATTTGTCGATGTTGTGAGTGCCCAAACCGGTATTTGCAGGCCATGGCCACCAATTTGGCTATCTCAACTCAAAACTAATGTTAAGGTGGGAGTGTCCCTTTAAACTGTGGTCAGTGGTGATATTTTCCAGTCATGAAACAATGTTGCGCCTACTTTGTGATAAGAAGGTCTTCGAACATAAATGAACGAGTTTTTCCAGAGTTAATCCTAAAATCGGATTACTGCATGCGTAACTAAAATATTCCCAGCAGTTAACACCAGGATGCTTCTGGAAACCCCAAATACCTTGGCGCATTTTCTATTCTTAAATAGCGCCTCGCTTTCATTCAGTACTGAGAAAACTGCTACTGGCTTTTCGACAACTAAGGCACCGTGGCGGTTTTAGTGCTGGTGAGCGGCGCGCGTGGCTCTGTTACGGACGTCAGAGCGTCAGACGGCCGCGGCACGAGGTCCGGTAAGCACCAGGTGCAGTCCCGGGGCGGCGCGGGGGTGGCGGACTGAACTTATACCGGGCAGTCCCGCCCAGCTAACACAGCGGCTCACTGAGATCTGGGAACACGGGTCAGGCGTGCTTGGTGCCGCTGCCCAGCTGATGCCTCCGACAGCGGGCCGGCCCGGGTAGCACCCGCGAGTGGCGGCTCTCCGCTCATAGTTAATATCACAACTAGCCAAATGTTTTTCTTTTTGTCAGTTGCGAGCTACCCCACAAAACCCTCATATCTGCGGGTTTTCGGGATTATTTTCCCTCACATCTCTAGTTCTTCGGGCCGGGACACTGCGTGGGCGACTGAGCGGTCGGTTCTCAGGGGTGCCGCAGTGCGGTGTTTCCCGTTGGATGTAAGTCGAAGTGTCGACCGCAGACCGCTGACTGACGAGAAGGGCTCAGATCACGTACCGCTCAGCGACGGAACGGTCCGCATTAGAGCCGTGTCAGACGTGCAGCGAATCTGCGACTGGTAGCGGACCGTCGGTGCTGAGAAGGTCGCCCGAGCTATTAACGGGACAACGTACTAGAACACTTAATGCGGATAAAAAGTCGAGATGTTCAGTTCTGATGCCGCTCCTTCGGCCTGTAATTTGAACGAGTGCCCACTCAACCATATCCGAGATTACTTCCGAGCGTAGTAAATGCCTTTGGGGCGCTGCGAGAGAATACCAATGAGAGGCACACCCCGGATCGTGAACCCATCCGACATGATAGAGCTCTCCGCGGTCGTTCGCTGCATCCAGGCGTCGACGACCTGATAGTTTCTGGTCAGCTTGACCATTGGTCAGCTACCAGGGCGGTAACCTCCAGGGACTTCGGAGACGCGATATTTGTCGACTCATCGGCGACCTTGGCGCGAGAGGTGGACGCAGTGTTGCGTCAGAGCCGAGCTGGGCAGGGCAGGGAGCCTCTGCAGCTGTTGAGGCGTCCCAAACCGAGCTCGGCATACCAGCAATCAGCCAACAGCTAGCCGGCACGACAGGACAGCACAAACCGGACCGGCCTGCCGGGGAGCAAACCGACCGGCCGCCTCTGCACCGGTCGGAGCAGCTTACCGCGGAGCAGTGCAGGGCCGGGCGTGTTTAGGACAGCACAGAAACCGGATCACCACAGACCGACGACAAGGGATGCGTGTCAGATGCGGAATAATTGGTCCGCAGTATGATTTACGGTTTTGTCGTGAAAGTAATCCCGGTGACAGGCCCGACCTTGCTTTCAATGTCATCACTCATATATTCTGCGCAAACGTCAGATATTCCGTTCACAGGAAGAGCAATGAACTTAAGCCGGGTTCACACCGGCTTTCCGGTCCGGAAAAATTCCGTCTGCCGGGCCGGCACCAAAATGTTGAAATTGTCGCTAGATGTCAAAAAAGTCGCTAGAACCGGAAAACCAGAAAGTCGAGTCGGAGATGTCATTCTAAGTACGATAAGTAGGTACCAAGAAATCTCGCGAATTATTTTGAAATCGAACATACTTGTGTGACGGCTTTATAAGTCCCTGATGCAGTTCCATCCAACCGAAAATAATCCATCCTTCACTGGTAGGTATATTAGCAACATTAATACAATTTAACATTTACAGCATGAGGGCTAGGTATCGACTAAAAGACACTGATTTATTTCAATCGCGCTTTGGCTGTTGTTGGTTTAAAAACACTTGTGAACAAAGAGGGATTGAGTGCTGGGCAAGGCGCATTAGAGACGGCGAGCTTGATATTACGCTTGCTGATGTAGATGGCTGGGTCTCAAAATCGGTCATCTGACTGTCACTGACTCTACCGCCATAACCCGCGCCCCGCTGGGGGTCCTAAATTTCCACGCCTTGCTGGGGGGTGTTAACCCCCCCCCCTTCTAACTCGGCTCCTGGATCACGTAGCGATACGGGGAAGGCGGCGTTCGAAAGAGTGTTAAAAATAATGACGAAATTAATTCGGTCACTTTTTTGGTCAAATCAAAGGTCAGGTCACCAGAGGTCATGGAAAGCCGAATTTCACCGATTTTCAGGTTGAATGTCGACGATTTACAACAAGCCAACGCATAACTTGGCATCGATTTTCTCCCATCGACTTATAATGGGGAGGTCACAAAATTGACCTGACCTTAGGTCACCGATATCAAAATTACGAGATAGTTATTTATTTAAATTGTGTACATATTGCTGCCCTTATCGATCGCTGACAGTTTCAAAGAGGTCGGTCGCTCGATGTAGCAATGGAAGACGTTGAAACTTTGTATGAGGTGAGGTCACTTGAAGTGACCTGGTGACCTGACCTTAAGTGACCTTGGTCTACAATTTTTACAACATGTGCAGAAAAGATGCATGATAAGGTGTGCCAAAAACAGCCGCCGTTTTTTAGATATTCGCGAAAAACCACAGGGAGGGTTCACTTCAAGTACCCCCACCCCCACCCCCATCCCCAACAGGGCGCGGGATAATATCCTTGGCATTCAGTACCATCGCATTTCCTGAATCTTCTACTTGCGATTGAATGGCAAAACTGCCTCCACCCTCCCGAGCTGCTATGTGCTTGTGTAGGAGGGCATCGAGGGCAGAGAAGTGTTGTCAGCGCGTCTTGTAGAATGTAGATTTCAGAATCTGCTCGGCTGGCTCCACTTCGTAGACGACGAAAGTTAAGCAATAAGCAATACGTACA